AACTGGAGCTGGGAGCTGTGCAGCGCCAGACCTGTTGTACGCACTAGGCTTGACACTAGACTAGGCGGCAATCTAATCGTGAAGTTGGATTTCAATGCACACGAGTGACTGTACAATTAAGTGACCCAACCATGTACAGTCATGTAGGCCATGTGTTACCTATGATACCTGTGTTACCTGTGTTCATTTCGGCCTCATATAGAAAAGACTACAGTAGTACATGGTAACATGTATCGCGGAAGTAGCAGTCCTTGGACAAGCCCATTGCTGGTTACTAGTAGCAGGACAGTTTGTCACCATGCACTTACTCGCAGTGTGCCAGCTGCTCAGCACACAGCTCCGCTCCCAAGTCAGTTACTGCTGGCACAAGCACTGACAAGTTGGGCTTAGTGCCACTGCCTGCTGAACAGCAGTACCTAGACCCTGGGCACCAGTGCATGGAAGAGTTGAAATCTACAGTCTGTGCAGAGATGAGTGAGAGTACAGTAAGCCAGTCAGCTTGTCAGTCCATCCTGCCTGCCTGCTGTCTGCATGCTGGGACTCTAGGCTAGACAGGTGAGTGAGGCCATACAGGGCTGGCTAGCTTTGGCTAGCTGGTATGCACTGAGCAGGTGGTAGGACACCTGAAGAGGAACTGCCAGAACAAGCCAAGAATGGAACACAGGGAGTGTCAAGCCCAGCAGGGGAGCTACTATCATAAAAAGACTCAATTGAAAAGTCCTTCCAAACCTACCCACTGGCATTGCGCATTCCTGGACTGATGAAAGAAAAGAAGAAAAAATACCCAGAGAGAAGCTTTGAGGATGTTCTGAAATTCACATTTAGCCCTCACTTACCCACTGGCTGAGTGCGAAGGAGGCAGTACAGTGCACCGTGCACCCCCGGAATGGCGCCGGGAAGTCGGAGAGGTTGGCTGCAAAGAGCAGCTTGTCAGTGTCACTGGTAGCAGAGAGGAGCACGGATGTGTGTTGCAGTGAAAACAGCCCTGTGTTTGCTGTTCAAATCTTCAGAGTCACCTTCTTGTGTTGCTCACTGTAGGAAAGCAGCATGTAGCCATGTAAGAACAAACAGACACAATCCAATGAATCATGATGATGAAGGAGGTGCCATGTAAGAACAAGCAGGCACATGACGAGGGAGATTTAGTGAACAACACGGAGTGCACAGATGAAGAGAAACCGACTGAGCACAGTACAGTAGGAGACATCAGTCGCTGACAATATCCTGCTATGACAGCCGGAAGTGAAGCCATGTTCCGGCCTCTACACTCTCTGACGTTCCTTCCGCACTGACGACGGACATGATCACATGCACCTGACAGGAGGATATCAAAAACACGCACACATTCCCAATCTTCTTCTTTCTCATCTATTCTTGTAATGACACTAGCTGGCATTCACAGCCGCTTATACGATAACACAACAAACAGATACATACACACAGGGATGTGACGAACATAATGCAGCACTGGGCGTACTCTTACAAGGCAAGGGGCACAGCCACTGGCACTGGTGTTTTTAAAAGATAGTTTGATACAAAGTTAGATAATTATGACAATCACTTGGCATTCCTGAGGCTCCCACTGAGACTTTGGCCATGAGCAAGATGCTAGGCTAGGTACTCTAGTGTACTGGTGAGTCTAAGATTTCATTTGTTGGGAAGTATTCTGTCTTTATCAACATTTACGTAATCAAGTAGCGTGCTCCACTGTCCAAAGAGTGCTCAATACCCATGTAGGGTAGAGCCTTGTACACAAGAGAGATTGTAAGCTGATGATCCTTGCCTGATGATCGTAGTGATACGTGAAACTCAGAGTTGCGACACAGCTTCCAGTCTCTCTTGTGTATCAACATTTAACGAGTATCCGCCATTGCCATGAGCAGCAGGAACGTCTCAAGAAGCATGAATACGATATCCAACCTCATCATAGACTGAATGCCATTACTTCATCCAGGGAAATATCAGAATGATGTTGGATGAGGACTGGTGCCACCCTCGACTACATGTAAAGGTTCTGCGGATTGCAGCTCATCTGGGTCCGGATGAAAGAGTTGAGCCCAAAGGAACTTGTGACACATGTCTGACAATGGGCTCAGGAAGCTGACATGCTCTTCTCAATGGGCAAAAAGCTAGGGGGAGGGTGCACGGGTTGGGTTGAAAACATATTATAGTTCCTCGATCAGTCATGTAAGTAGTCGCTGGAGTAAAAACGTTTCCACGTCCATGCTACAACCACATAAACATTCGTATTTGTATTTGTAACACAACATAAATGTGCACAAAGGGTAAGCAGCAGCTCTCGGCCTGTTTATCAATAAAGTTCTTCCACCTCCACCAAACCGACCACACACCAGCAACATGACTCCAAGTTATAGATACTGACAAACAATTTTTTCCTCCAGACAGTGCTGTTTCGACCACTATAGATCCCATCAGTGAAGGTTGAGAATAATGAATGGTCAGAATTAATTTTGAAAGCACAGTTCTAAATTAATTCTAGCCATTCATTATTCTCACATGCATGCTTGCACCCTTAAAAATGGGGTGTACCATGTTTCTAAATATGAATGCTAAGCATTTGACTGTAAACATTACATTGCGGTTACAATGCACAGCTAAAGAGTAGTGGTGATGGACTCATGTCTGCATGCATAGTCCATACACTGCACATTCAGGGCGGGGCTGCATTCCTATGCTATGTTTTTTTTCTAGCCTTCAGCAAGCAGTCGACTGGAAGTGCTGACCAATCTATACTGTGTATAAGCAGTCAGGTGAAGGCAAACACTCCACACTGGTCTTACAGTACATAATTGCACTGGGGAAATACTATTAGCTGTGCCAAAAGACAAACGCCTCCCACTGGTTAACAATGTGTGTGCTTGTCTCAAGATAGCGTGACACCAGAATAGCTCAGTGGGATGGCTGGCTAAATCTTTGAGGCTAGTCCTGCAGCCGTACAGCACTACAGCATTACAGCAATACAGACAGTCCCGTGGTACTACAGCAGTCTGCAGGAGTCTAAAACTGCACAATACAATGAATTGATGAATACACGGAGATGCTGAGACAGTTCTGTATCGCTCAGTGCATGCAGTGCTCTCAATTGAACAGACTGGCATACATCACCATGATGTTCAATACTACCCCTACTACAGTAGTGGACACTTATGTGACTTGGCAAGCTAGGTTAGTAGGTAACATTACAACAAGGAAGACACTTCAGATGAAGGCCAGTCCAGCCTGTGACTACATAAAATAGCCAGTGCCTGCCATTGATCATTCATGCTGTTCTATTACTAGTATACATGTATCGCTGTTTTCATTCTTGCCATTCTTGGCGGGCAGTTTCAGTGTTTGTATTCACATGATAGGCATGTCCAGCTACAGTACAGGTACAGCTCTACACTAACTGCATGTATGGCACATGGTGCATGGTGTACACTACTAGTACAATATACCGGCGGGGATAGTACTTGGAAATAGTCTAGACACCCAGGGTGGCACACCTGTTTGATTATGCGTCATTGTGCTTCTTTTCTACAGGTATTTGCCTCTACTTCACAAAGGTCTGTGAGTCTACTTTGAACTAGGTAATCTGTGTACACCCAGTTCTGTTCTGTTTCCTTTGCCCATGCAAGTAACTTGCAAGATCAGGACTCGGAATACTAGCTAGGCAACATTCAAACATCCCACTGCACAGTAGAATTACAAAGACTGGCATCGAGACATGCGCTCTCGGCTCGGTAGAAATGCCTGGACAAGTCTACAAATCTCTTACATGTTCTGCGGGATGTGAGGGTAGAGTGCTGCTTCCACTGTGGCATCTCAGCGTCCACGATGCTACTACTACATGTACATGTACTTCGTCTGGTAAAGATGAGTCAAGATGTGTATCAGCAGCACTGCTGGTAGCGAATACCTGGAAGAGAGAAGAATCGCAAACCGGGCACAGTCATACGTGTAGAAATAGATACACAAAAAAACCTGTCTAAGCCGACAGCTCACGGAACCTTCCAAATGTAACCTTCATGTAGAGGTGATCACCTTATCCAGGGTCATTTGACTGGAGAGACCATTGGTCCTGGTTGTAGTGGCAGGTGGTCGCCTTGACAGGTTTTTACTGTACAGGGGGATGCCATAGTAACATCACGCAATCCCATTGCTAGACAAAGCAGCAGCAGCAGCAGCAGCAGTTGTCTGCACCAATGCTATTCATGGAAGGAGAACTAACCGATTAGGGCGAAACACAACCTGGATGAGGGAGAATGGGAAACATGCTTCTTTTTCCTTTCAAAGAAGTAATGTTTTAGTTAATTTCCACCGGATCAGAACCCGAGTGGAAATCAATGAGACACAATGAGGTGGTGGTGATGATGATGACTCACAACACCATGGTACTGTCAAGAGTACATGTACTCTTGGTACTGTGTATGAATGAATGGATAGCCGGACTACACACACAGTGATGAATGAACACAACGGTGGCCACCAGTCTCAAGGGGTAATATTACCAACTGCTCCCACTGCCCAGTATAATGGTACATGTAGATGTGCAAATAACATATCTTTCAAAATGCAGTGGCATGTAGGAGGCAAAGTGATGTTGAGTTAGTCTGCTGTTCACACATACACACATGCATGCATGCACCGATCGTGGCTGTTGAATACAAACAAATTGATCATGCATTGCCATTCAAAAATCACGACAATGAAGCTATTTATTTGCACAGCATACTCTGCGACTAGTATCCATGTCCCATCAACAAACGCCTTGCTTTTCTGGAGCTTTGCACAGTGGCTCCATGCACTGGCAGTAATGCCAGGGCTGTAACGGCCAGTGAAATATGTCGCAACGATGACTCTGATATCAGCGTGGGCTCTGACCCACATAGTCAATCTGACTCGTTACCCCAGGGTCCCACCAGCTGGCTGATGTGTTGCAAGACAATAATCTCACAGATGACTACTTCAGCAGTAGCAGTAGCAGCACGCATGGAGAGTAAGTCTTCAGAACCAGTACATTCTGCACCAAATCTTGCTGTGACAAAAATGAAATTCCACTAAGGTAGGAAACCTGACAGATATCAGAGAACTTAAAAAGGTGTTTGTTTAAAGGCAAGAAGGGAAAAGAGATCACCTCAGTCTGGTCCGAACACATTGTGAACAGAGATAGAGAGGGGGAGGGGAGGAGAATTCAGAATCTACTTCAAGAGTGGCAACACACTATGATAAACACCAAGATGACTTGCACTGCCAAGTAGTTTATTTTCAAAGATCGTGAAAGTCAAATGGTTCTCAGCACATTGGCCGAGTGCTAGCATTCTCCGCACGCTGTTCTGTAGCAATCCTCCAAGAAGCAAAGTACCGTTGCCCAATTTGCAGAGCCGTGCAAGTCGGGGGATCAGAGCCACATTAAGTCTTGTTGAAGGCCAACGGAAAGGAGACAAGATCCAAACGCAATGGAGAGGCCGCAATTTTGGCAAGCTCTGGCCAAGCCACGGGAACTAATGGCAACCTGTTGACCAATGGCTAGTATAGTGAAGGCACATCAAGGATAGATGAACTCATCCACAAGGTTCTCAGAGCACCACCCGGGCATGCTCATAAGCATGCCAAGGCCCAAGGGATAAGCACAGGATTATGTGCTGTATGCAGCCCATCAGAACATAACTGCCATAGTGTAGTGTCCTGTATTGGTTGCAGTACACTGCTCCCAGCACCAGCCAGTGGGGGTATAAACCTGACACCGTGCACAAGCGATGTACTGGAAACACGAGGTGAAATCCCAAAGTCCACTGGGCAGTGTAACCATTCCTTCTCACGGTACAGTAGTACGCTCAAAACTATTGCTGGCCAAACCAATAATACTGTTGAAGTTGATAGTGGTGAAACCGACCCTTTCCCACGCAACCAACGCAGGTTCTTGCACTATTCAACAGTAGGGTGAAGCTGGATTTGACATCCTGGATCTGTGGAAGTAGCAGTCTCTTGCATGAAGACTACATAGAATGCTGCCCTGCGCAGCGTAGAGATTGTAGACAAATACATGTAGTTCACTTCCCAAAGCATGTCAGTGCAGGCGATAGAAGGCTGCCACAATGAGCATTGCTCAAGTAAAAAGGTCATCACGCCCGTAGAATATCATTTCCCATCCAATGGTTTCGGGATGACTCTGCTGTATGCGGTTGCCTGCAGGTCTGCTCAAGTTTCACGTTCCACCTACAATGTAATACCAAGGTTCCATTGAGAAAGGTTGAGCTCACACAAACCACTCAAGGAGCTGTAGTAGTACCTTGGCCTCAGTCATCCTCAACAGCCGTGAATGCACTGAGCACGGCACAATCAGACTTGGGAAGCTGCAGTGCAGAATGATAACACAGTCACATGCATGATAACACAGTCACATGCAGTGCAGAATGATAACACAGTCACATGCATGATAACACAGTCACATGCATGATAACACAGTCACATGCAGTAACACACAAATAAGCACATGCATACACAAACAACACCATGATGAAGCCTTATTCAGAAGTGCCTTCATTGAGAAGAAAAATCGATAAATTTAGCTAGGTAATGCGAAGTACCACACGACCTGTAAGACATTTTTCAAAGAGATAAAGATGAACAGATACATGTAAGGCTGAGCAGACCGAAAATAGTGGACATTAGATTGAAAAGAAGTAAAGGAGAGTTGAAGTTGAGTGGATGCACTCACCAGGGAGAGGAAAGCAACCAGTTTCAAGTCTACTAGATCATCGAGGAGATCCATTTGCTGCTGATGAGGCAGGGTGGCAAACAGTGATGCCGTCGTCTGGAGCAAATTCTACAAGGAACAAACACCATGCACACAACATCCAAAGTAGTTAGTTGAGGGTACTGAGCAACACACACCATGCACACAGCATCCAAAGTTGAGAGTAATGAGTAACACACACCATACACACAGCATCCAAAGTAGTTAGTTGAGGGTACTGAGCAACACACACCATGCACACAACATCCAAGTTAGTTGAGGGTACTGATCAACACACACCATGCACACAACATCCAAAGTTGAGGGTAATGAGCAACACACACCATGCACACAATATCCAAAGTACTGATGCACAGAGCATAGGCAAATACTAAAGAGCCAAGTTTACTATTCATGGCAAGGGAAATACTGTCGGCACAAAAGCAATTCAATGCGGCCTCTAACAGTAACATGTTGGTAGCGTTTAGTCCGTGCAATGCTAAGCATCAGTCACGCTCAACATCCACGTGCCCAGTTTCATCTGCCATGACTGCACCCAGGTAGGTAGGTAGCTAGAGAGCTTTGACCAACCCTGCTGCGCAGTGGAGGTCTTGTAGGGTAAACTAGTACTGTACAGGGTTGAGTGTTCTGTTTCTCACAAGACAGTGTATGCTTGTCCAGAAGAGATCTACACGATACCATTGCATTTAGGAATGGCTGGTTGGCCCAAGGCGCAACCCCAAAGTGCACCTGTAGAGAAGATGTTTCAATGAGCCATATCATGAAATCGCCTCCCAGTGATACAGCAAAATGACAATGTGACAACAAGCAGCAGTGTTCACACACACACATACAATGTACACAGCTTGTCATGTAGTAGTCACAGTGTAACCTGTGTGTATAGATGACCCAGGGCGGGGGGGGGGGGGAGAGCAGACTAACCTGAGCACAGTCATCAGTTGGAGATGCCTGACAAACAGTACCGGCACTGTCACACAACGTCAGCTGAAACGAGAAGGACCACCTCCAGCATGTCTCCAATGGCCTAAAACATGAAAAGAGCACAGAATCAAATGAGACATCATGTACAGTGATCTACCCACAGGAGCATGCAGCATGCGTGAGAAGAGAAAGATTGCCGTCACCGCTGGCAAGAGAGGGACTGTCAAGCCGCCGGTTTCGAAGAATGCCCCCAAAACAAAGACACCTGCATTGAGAGATAGTCAGTTCCCTAATGAGAGTTTGGATGTACGATCTGGGAAACTCTATTGCACAGCGTGTCGTCATGAAGTGTCAACAGTGAAAAGCATAATCAATTTATCAGGGTCCACCTTTTATCGAAAAAGCACCAGAAAAGCAAGGAAAAAAAGAAGAAGCGTGCAGAGGATGGCAAGCAAATCTTCCTGGATGGTGGGGAGTATCTCCAGCGCACTCATGCTGTCGGCAGTACACTTCAGGAGAAGGTGCTTGTGTATAGAATTAAGTGTTTGAAAACACTTCTGAGCTATGGCATACCTCTGAAGATTGATCAGTTGCGTCGTCCTCTTCTGGAGGAACATGGTGAACGACTCACAGGACGACAGTGGCCTCTGCGCCCATCATGGACAAGATGGTGAAGTCCCGATTACACCCTGCGACCAAGCCGCGAGACAAGGTCCTGTCGAAACAACAGGCCTTGCTTTTGGACGCCGTAGGTCCTTTGACCTACGTACTAGAGGAAGCTGGGAAAGAGACTCTCACCGTACAAGCCACTGTCGAAGCATGCCAGCAGGCGTTGGCTTTTATTGGCAATGCCAATATGCATTTGAATAGAGAAAGGCGGCGAAATGCCATTTTTTGTATGAATCGCGACCTTGCCGAAATGGCAGATGATGACGATACGTTCAAAACGTCTGCACCCCAGCTGTTTGGAGATGGCTTCTCCAGAAACGCGAAGGAACGGAGCGAAGAGCTCAAATGTTTGGAATGAAAAGCGCAGACTGGAATTAGTCCACGTATTAGTCCACGTAGCTACAGTGCAACCCGATGGTGGTACAAGTTGGAGGCCATGGACCAGTTTTTGGAGATGTCGCCTCCTTCCCGACAACTCTCCAGGTGCGATCAGCAATTGTTGAAGACTTGGATCCAGATATCACTGTTGAGTTTGCTCGGCCATTTGTGCAAGCGACACACAAGTAAGAAGGAGATGGGCCACTCAGTTTGATCGCCTATGAAGTCATTTCCGGACTGAGCCGATACGTCAACGAGCCACAAATTCCCCTCCCCTGTACTGAGGCCCTAGCATGACGGCAGAATGGCGGCAATCTAAACCAGGAGAATATCTGGATAGCCTTTGCCCGAGGGCTCATTGTTCCAGTAGTTGAGTACTTCCATGCTAAGTTCTCTGCCGGAGTTGCTCTCTTCCACACTGTGAATGCCTTTCGTGCTGCACGGTTGTGTGATCCAAGGAAGGTGAGAGACATGCTGCCAGTCCATGAGGATGTGAGTGATTTGCAGGCCTTCCCCTTCATATCCAACAACGAAGTTGCAGCTTTGCAGATCAAGCTTCCTCAGTATGTTGCTGCTTTGTGAGGATTTGGCTGGTGACATCGATCCAATAGTGTGGTGGAAAAATCACAGCAACGATCATCCTCGCTGGGCCAGCGTCTTCCGCAGAGTGCTTTTGGTCCAGCCAAGTTCAGCTGCTGCTGAACGAGTCTTTAGTCTCCTTGAGAGCTCCTTCTCCAAACTCCAGGAGACCGCTCTGGAGGATTACATAGAGACACCCATCATGCTTCAGCATAATCACCGCTAGATGCAGCATCCGGTTTGGTTCCGGTGGTCAAGTCATCTGCTGAGTCTTCCGTTGCTACCATATCTCTAGCCTGCTTGCCTGTCTCTCTTTCTTCGTGCTACTGAGTACTGACTGACTGTGCCAGTTGCCAGTTTGTTGCCTTTGGAACCCGTGTCCATTTTGAGTATTTCATTCGGTTCTCATCAATGTTGGACGCTGCATGCATGCTAAAATGTTGAACTGCTTTCTTTCTTTCTTTTTCCTTGTATCTAGCCAACATAAAGCAGTAGATCCTTCCTGGTCGCCTTATCTTTTAGCTGCCCTACTGTTTTCTTTGCTTGTGATACTTGGTGCCACTCAGTTGTCTCTGCCTAAATTGTTAACATACTGTTTGCTTCCGTGCCATGTTGATCCTTTCCCCGGCTCATGACGAGTCATGAGTGTGGTGTTTTGGTTGTGTTTCCGTGACTCTCTGAGAAGCTTTTTCCCTTTTTCCGCTCACGAGTTGATTCAGAGCAAGTCTGCACAACACTGTGATGTAATGAGTTCCAAGACCGTGAAGCAGGAGAAGAGTGCGACGATATGAGACTGGTCGGATACTATGATTGGCAACAGAACTACAAAACTTGGAAACCTAAGGGTGAAAATCGCAAAAATTTCCTAAAATTGACACCCCTATATACAGGACACATGTGCACTAACTATCAACATGCCAGCGGAACTCTGGCTCACCGAGTAGCTATATACTCTTTAAAATCCTTTCGCACCTAATGACGTGTTTTCACTCACTAAGCGACATGGTCCGGTTTCCCAAAACGTACAGTGAATACAAGTGGGCGCCGTGTAGTACAGTACAGACTACTGTACAAAACGCCGTAACTCTGTGACGAATTATCGGATCACCTGTGCCCCATCACATACACACGCGCAAGCACTTGGAAATCAGGCATGTTTTTCTTGTCACATGCTGGGGCAAAATGGGTTGACACAGGAAGGTACATGTAGACCAAAGAGACTGTAGGACACCCACCCACTGGTATACAACACCCACGCACAGATACATGTGCACCGCTAATACACTTGCAACAGTCCACTTCCGCCAAGCCACCGTACGCCGGACACTCCGAGCCCTGAATCCAAGTAAAGCCACAGGGCCTGATGCAGTACCCGCTAGAGTGCTGAGAAAATGTGCCGACTCTCTGGCCCTGCCCCTATCCAAGCTGTTTACCCTGTGCTTCTGCAGTGGTCATCAACCTGCCATGTGGAAAGTTGCCAACGTCGTACTGGTACACAAGAAAGGCCCCAAGTCGAACCCCAGAAACTACCGACCGATATCACTACTGCCCATAATGTCTAAGTGTATGGAGTCCATCGTGAACCGCAGCCTGTCCAACTTCCTGAAGAAGAATGACATCCTTTCTCACAGGCAGTTTGGCTTTCGCACTGGACTGGGAACCTCTGATCTGCTGATTGCTCTTCAGCATGAGTGGAGCCTTGCAGCTGCCGGTGGAGGCCTCGTCAGGGTCCTCGCAGTAGATATTGCCGGGGCCTTCGACAAGGTCTCGCACAACGGCGTCCTCCACAAGGCTGAGCGGTGCGGCATAAGTGGCCCCCTCCTTGCCTGGCTCCGGAGTTACCTGACAGACCGCCACATCCGTGTCGTCATAGGCGGCCAGTCTTCACCGACCCACCGAATCCAATCTGGCGTGCCACAGGGCAGCATCCTCGGCCCCACCCTCTTCCTTCTGTACGTCAACGATGCAGAAGACCACCTGCCTGATGGGGCGAAGCTGGCTGTATACGCCGACGACACAACTCTCTACAAGTGCATCACCACCCGACTCAGACTGCCAGAAGAGACAGCAATCCTCCGGCAGGCAGTAGACTCACTGGCAGCATGGGGAAGCAGGTGGAGGATCAAGTTCGAGCCCACAAAGTCGCAGGCATTGACCATCAGCCGCCACCGCTCACTGCCATCCAGCGACGTGCCCTGCACATAATTGGAGATGGATCATACCTCCCGAGCCTCGACATTCGCCGTACCGTAGCAGGGCTCTGCTTGCTGTACAAGCTGCACTTTGTGGAGGGTCTGGAAATGGTGAAAGCCATTCTGCTACCATCAGCAGCCGCACCGCAATGCCGCATGTCTACTCGTGAGACAACCAGATCTGCAGCACATCATCCATCACAACTCACCAGTATCCTTCCTCCTCAGTCACGAAACAACACGCTCCGCTCATTTCCCCACTCCCTCATTGCAACGTGGAATCAGCTCCCACCTACCCTTCTGCAGTCTCCCCCTTCTCGCAGAGGTATGCACACCTTCAAGAAAAATGTCAACGACCACTTGCGGCGCAGCAGGTGGGAGTGGGCCACAGACAGGCTATGATCTCTCCATCGCAGCCAACACACCAGCCTAATTATTCTGACCGCACTCCAGCTCCCTTCTACCCCTCTTTGATCCACTTCGCTCAGCCTTAATATCCGATTATCAGTTCTCTCCATCTTCCTACGGTGCACTGCTTTTACTATTGTTTTGTCCTATCTCAATCTCAAATTCTCCCCATTATCGTTTGCAAAGCCGGTGCTTCCCTCTTGGATGCACATGTTTCTTTTCTCCTATGTATCGGCGCACAGGAGTAACGATGATTCCGAGACCTTTGGTCGGAGGAGTTACTTTTGCCCCGCCCCCACTTCCATCGAATATGCCACCGCCCCCGCTGTGCAGTATCTGATGGTCCTGTGCTATTCAGTAAAAAATAAATAAAAAAATAAAAAAAGTATGAATGCCGCAGACATCACCACGCAACATGACAATTTGTTCAAGGTTTTAGATTGTGTGTTTCCAGAATCGATTTTCAAGCTCCGATCATCAGTGGGAATACGGAACTAAAGTGATCAAGGGAAAAACAAAGGTTAAAAATCCAAAGAAGTGTGGCACATGACGCGTAAGTATTACAAAAAGTGAGGGCTAAGATAAGTCATGTGTCACACTTCTTTGGATTTTTAACCTTTGTTTTTCCCTTGATCACTTTAGTTCCGTGTTTCCACTGATGATCGGAGCTTGAACATCGATTCTGGAAACACACAATCTAAAACCTTGAACAAATTGTCATGTTGCGTGGTGATGTCTGCGGCATTCATACTTTTCATAGCTATTATTAAACTTTTATCTCCACGTAGATTATTTGTAAAAAAAATGTTGCTCTTGGTGATCCAACGCGGAGTTGATGTCTCTATTACATGTATCTCAGGCAATGGCAGAACTAAACAGATGACTATGTGGATCTGCTAAGCTAGCGTGACCAGTGGACCATAATGCACCTACCTTTCAGCCGCAACTTTGCGACGACAATCCTCTTCCACTAGATCCTTGCAACTGAAAAACATACAAAACAAATAAATACATGCACAGTTGAACCTTGCTTGCCGACCAGCTCGCCAAGAGTCGCAAAACTCCGGTCCAAAACAACGGGTCAATCAATGAATATCGTCAAAGATTGGACTAAAGCAACATCACACATAGAAATGACAGGCGAGATTCTTAGCAGAGTACATGCAACTGCAGCGCAGCAAGGTGAAGATTCAGTCTCAAGCCACTCGCCAAGCTCCTATCAACACCAAGCCTGGAGTGCATCATCAGGTCCCTTACCCGCAGGCCTGGCAGTAGAGATAACCGTCAACATGGGATTGTATCACCTTCTCACACGTAGAGTCTAGCCAACACAGAAACAAATACACAGAATGAAAGCTAAGCAAGTGACATCATCCCATACACTACGCATTGAGCAGCACACGGCTGTTCACGCGCAGGCACTTATAAATATGGCGGCGTTCGGTGCGATTTATGTAACATTGTGCGAATAGTACAAATACGCGATGAGTTTGCGTTTTTGGAAGAAACTCATGTCGATCCTCGCGTGGTTCCACGATTTGGGACGCGAAACCAAGAGAAACATTTTGAAAGCGCTCGAGCGAGATCCTCGACTTTTCGGCAATTTGAGAGAAAGAGGGTGGAAAGGCGTCCTGGCCTGCCCAGTTAGCTGTCTTTCCGCTTCAAACTTGCTCGAACTACTCCTGGCAGTCTGGAGATTGATCTCGCCAGTGATTGTCAGCCTCTGCTTGGCGTGCTCGCGTGTACAACATTCAAGTTAGACATTTCGTAATCGTTCAACGCACAATAGGGTAGATACCACAATTGCAAGCTCACTTGGCCGGCTGCTGCCTTCTTCTACAATATCCCACATGCCGACTAAGCAATTTACAGCAGGAAGCAGCCTTCTACACTCAACAGCAACTAAAGGGCCACACCATCTGTCTCCCAAATCAAGAGAAAACAGGCTCCTGACTCGTCGCGCGTATTTAGAAGTTCACGCGCGTATTCTAATGACACTTGGGGAAGACAACCAGAGGATAGTCCTCTACCTGGGAAAATATCGATCTAAGCTGGGAAAAATCGGGAAGGGCTTCTCGGAGCCGAGTTTGTCAGCAACGACACAAGGAGTATTCCAGAACGAAGCCAAATTCGCACGACACAGAACAAATGTTTCTTGAAGGAAAGGCAGTCATGTGAGGTACGAGCGGAAAGCTTGAAACAAGACGCAGATGATCAGCGTGTTCCCCGGGCTGTCCGGGCTGACTAGTCTCCAAAATCCAGGGGAAACCATGGCCTACTCGTGTTCTGAAGATTTGAAAATTCAAATTTTCTTGCCATTGAAGCCCAATTGAGACTTTCGGCGGCCATATTGTTAAGTGGCGTGAAATCGCAAAAAAATCCGCCGTGAGCAAACCAGTGCTTATGATGTCACATTGTTACTACTCCATAAAAGCATCTCGAACAATGCTGTAATGATTATGTTATTGTACAAACTCTACTGCGATATACCAGTATACAAGGACAGCACATTAAAAGTAGTTACAAGTCATGCGGTGGTGTGAGTCAGCTCCTTAAAAAAAGCTAGATACCCATTGACCATTATTTTTATTTTATTTTTTATTTTTATTCTTATTTTACTAGGGAATTCCCAATAGGCGTCATCGCCTTCTTACAGGGAACCCTAAGAACGTCTTGATGGATGATCGAACCATGTGTTTCCCTCGTCTCCCTTGGCACTATGACTGCAAAGCTAGCTGTAACTTACGTCGTTGACAATACGGCTGAGAGGTGGCACAGCTAACAGCCTGTATGGTGACCTGGCATGTCTGACACTGCAGTATGTTGAGCTGCGACAACGCCTGCGGCTGACACAGCATCGGTGATGCTAGCCAGCCAGACAGTCGTGTTACTACGAGCACCAGCAAGATCACAAACACACACACACACACACACACACAATGTGAACATGATAGCAGACAGACATTACCTAGGAACAAACGAAAGGTCAGCCCATTGCCGGCGTGGAACTGCTAAGGGGCCGTCCGTAATTATCGATCTTTTTCACGAAGAGAATAAAGTTTCGTTTATGGGTGGGTGGGTTGAGGAGAGTTTCGTTTTGAAAATTATTGATAGCTGAAACATCAATCCATTCTAGCTGTTAAATCAATCCACTTTTCGTTCAAAGGGGTGGGGGAGGGGCATAACCAAACTTTTTCGTTTCGTGAAAATTATCGATAATGCCGGATGGCTCCTAAGGGGGGAGGGGCATAACCAAACTTTTTCGTTTCGTGAAAATTATCGATAATGCCGGATGGCTCCTAAGGGTGCGTTCAGACTACCGATAAAAAGAATGGGAACGTTTTCAAAGGTGATTAAATCACGTGATGTTACTGGAATTTTGACGGTGGAAAGGTTTTACCGCTGTAGCTGCTGCGGCGGAAACAGCATTCCGGCAGCAAAACAGGGGAGCACGTGTTTGTTTCAACTCCTCTTTCGCGTGTGACTTTTTTCTCCTGACTGGAACTGTGACTCCATTTAGGTCGTCATCACACTACGTTCTCGGACTCCCGTTTACGTCTACGTCTACGGTGAAAACCCCCAAACGAGTGGTCGTGTCATCAGACAGGCACAGCTTTTGACGCGCACATGCAGTCACGTTTTCGGAGAAATTTGAAGATTCCCGCGCAAGTACGAGGTCGCTTGGAAAAAGGCTGGGGGAGATACGCACATTCATCCAAAAAGTCGTATACCCCCCCCCCCCTCCCTACCACGTCTACGTTTCCCGTTTCCTCTGCTCCCGTTTCACCCTGTATGCGGATCATCATGACAACCGACCAAAAACTCCTTACGTGGACGTAGACGCAGCGCTTTGGACCGTTGTGTGATGACAGCCTAAGTAGTATTTTACGATGCCGAAGGCATTATTTGCCCAGGGCATGGAGAAGGAGATCATGTGCCTGTACGTAGAAGTCTTTGCTGGATCGTCAGGCAAAACAATGACGAGCGCAGAGAAACAGACAATGATAGCTGACAAGCTCAACGACAGCGGAAGCATTTGGGATGGCCTGTTGTCATGGTATCCAATGTTGAAAGCAAAACCGATGCCCTACGAAGGAAGGGCAAGATGATGTACAGGGCGTTCAGACTGAAAACCCGCACAGGTGCTCCTGTGGAGAGTGACTCCGACCTAAAGGTAATCTTTGTGTTGAATTTTTCTCATACTTACTGAATTCATCCTCCTATACTACTGACGATGTACTCATACCTCAGGGACTATTGACACGGGTGTGTGATCAGGATGGGAAGTGGTTTAGCCTTAGAAGGACAACATTGGGGGTGACGATCTCAAGGATCATTTCCACTGTTGTCATGTGGTACCAACAGTCCTGTTTGAATATAATTTGAATTATGTCCAACCATTCGGCCTGACAATTCCCGCTGAAACCTACTTATTGCGCCTGTTCTATCTCCCATCTCGGTTATAGCAATATGCATGTACCTCAGCTATGACACTTGCACTACTATTACAGTATATTCCAGCGCCGGTGGTATCTCCTATCGTGGGTGTAGCACTGCCTTAGCCTACATTACAATTACCCTATAATTATAACCAGCGAATAGCACATTATGGTCTATGGTCTGATGAGTGTTTTTGAACACGAAACTCGGAGTCACGAGAAAGCTGTTGATCTCTGTTGTTCTGCCTTGTGTAGTACGGTATGCCCTTGTTAGGGTATTGAGCACTATTTGCAGCAAAGACTTCAGACACTCTGTCATTATAATTATCCTGTTTTTCAGTCCTGGTAGTGACAGTCAAAATATTTCAGACCTTTTTTCCCTTTTCAAATCCCTCGACTTGCACTTGTATACACTCCTGTGCGTACTGCAAATGGCATGCATATTTATGTCGTGATGTTCCCGTGTCCTTGCAGTCCGCGCACAAAGGTTGGGCCAATTTCCCGCAGTATCATGCCCTGTTCTTCAAGAACCAGTCTTTTGGGCCAGGTGGAAACAATGTAGACACTGCTATCAGCGACCGTGGAGCAGAAGAAGCACGGGCAGAAGCTCCCCCAGCCCGTCACCCCAGCCCCTGTCACACCAGTGCACACACCAGGGCAAGTCAACATGCCTGGGGTCGGACAGAAAACTCCCCATGATGACTCTGACTCGGAATCAGATCTGGAGCCGGGCAGGAAGCCAAGTCGAAAGACCACAAGGAAATGGGCAGCATTGACAAACCAGTCATTTGCGGCCATCCAGTTGGAAACGTGCAAGGAGGAAATATCAGCAGAGGAAAGGAGATTGCTGGCGCAGCAGGAGTTCCAGCTGCGTATTGAGACGCAGAGAGAAGTAGCGGAAGACCGCTGAGAGAGAGAGAACGCAGAGAGCATTAGGAAGCGAAAGCAAGAGAACAGAGAGAATACGATGAAGCCAAAGCAAGAGAGAAGAGAGAGTACGAGAAAAAGAGAGAAGAACAGAGAGATAAGAGAGCTGCTGACGTCAGGCAGTCGGAGAAAGAATTCAATGCATCCCTGCTTTGAAGCCAGTGATGACGTCCTCCAGCTCTCTACCAGAAGGGAACTTGACGGCTGTCGCGTACGCGATCTCCACATTTAATATTTGAAACCTAAAACATTTACACATGTTACGTAATTTCTCGCAGGACGTGAGCTCTCATGTTTTGATAACCAAGGCGCATGCTTGCGCTTCTGGGCTTTTTTTCTTTCCTCGATTGGGAAAAGAGATAGAGAGAATCCCGAAGAGTTTGGAGTATTTGGAGTGTATGTGCCTCATGATTGGAGTGACGGAGAGAGATCTAGAATGTGAGATTTAGAGGCTCTGGTGAGAGAAGGTGCATGAGCCGTAATTGGAGTAGTAGTTCATTGAGTGTGATAGTTTTATGAGTAAGGTACATTTCAGTCTTTATTCTCTCCAGACAACGGCTGCTGGTACCAGGATGTTTTTCAAAACACTGACTGCAGCATGCACAATGTCATGGGCAGTTGATGCCACAATGCAATACAGCTCGCCAAGCTGGTTAAACGTAAGACCATGCGCAAGCCAATGCAAACAGATTGCCAGGCGCTTGGCAGGGGGCACAGTTGTCCGAAACCTAGTTGACGCTCCCTGTAGGTCATCGCCAGTTTGTCGGAGCAGGAACTGAAACGACTGAAACGTCCGACAGTCAACTCGGTAGGTACGCAAATAGCGCATGTCTAGACAGTCATCTGCGTCTCCTGGCATCCCAACTTCGTCTGCAATACTGCTCCATTTTTATTTCCCAGAAGCCCAGTTGACCCCCAGTGCGGTGAATTGACCACCAGCGTCCCTCTCGCCTCATGGACGAGGCAGCCTCCTCTGCTGCAAGAAAAGAAGAACTTCATGGCATGAAGATCGGCGAGGAAGATTCACACTATCGTGGCTTCGCAGGAAGCGATACCTGGACACTACGGACAGGTCGATGCACGTGGGCTTGCAACAGTCTACTTCGGGCAGAGACACCCTCTTCCCTACCACCACTTTGTTGCAAAAGAGAAAGGCCAGCGAACATAGCAGACATACTCTACTGGAGGGAAATTCAGACGACTCAATAACTTTTAAAAGATGTGTGATGGAAAGTTGGAAACTAATTTGAACTTCGCGGGCTGATACGCGCGATGCGGCAAAAAACCCTTTCAAACTGCCCCGCACGGACGCCATATTGAAGTCGGCATGGCAAAAGGTGCTCAGGCTGTGACTAGGGGAAAATCCCTTCTCGGTGCCGCGGTGAGAGCTGCACAAGTTTACCGGTAGTGTGGTTGTCGCTCGTGGTTTATTGCCATTCACGGTTTGACGCGGTTGTCGGTAGTCTGAACGCACCCTAATCGATTACTGTGAGGAAGAGGTACACAGCACTCTCACTATCTCATTTCTGCATCTCGGTCTAGATGTTTGAACCCGTGCTTAGTATTGTATCTGCTTTGCTGAGCTGTGTGAGAATCATCAAGGTGCATGAGCAGTGCTCAAGACAATGAAAGTTCTCAAAAATCACAGCTCACTTGAGACTTGAGACTCAGTCAAACAAAGCCCCAGTCAATACACCCACACTATTCCACCAGTCTTCCAGGGGTGGTAGAATTGCTTCATGTACAGTGTACATATACACTAACAGCACGGTCTCACCATTCCACATTGCACATCCTTTCTTCCAGCTCTGCCACAGCAGTTTTCTCCCAGGTGTTTCCCCTGCGGCACCACCACCACCAGCAGCAGTAGCAGCTGTAGTGTCTACACTTGATAAGCCACATAACACAACACACTGCATGCAGAACACAAAGACATATACAGCAAACACCAGCAAACTTCAAACACATACAACCGTAGTAGTGGAATGGTGCACATAGCAGCACATGAGCAGATTCCCAACAGAAAAAGGGGCATAACAAACTTAGAGGTCAGCCCTGAAATGTGTAGCATACGTTTTGTAGAGTACTAGTAGTATACCAAGGTGTGAGTATACTTGTAGCCCCCCCCCCCCCCCCATCGAACAGCAAGTGTGCCCTGGATTATGCACACGCACACACACACACACACACACACACACACACACACACACACACACACACACACACACACGCAAGCACGGACACAGCACAGCAATACCTGGCCAGGCTGAAAGTGATGGTAGAGGCTTGACAGGTGGTTGGAAATGTGCACACAAGCAGAACCTACAGCAAAAGAAAGCACAAACTCACATCAGATTTCTCCCGTCTACACTCTCCAGTCTGACAAGTTCTTGCCTATTGCCAGTTTTGGTATTCGAATACCAATAAAGCACTTTTCGCGTGTTTTCGGCCGATATAGTAACCCGTTTGTGTGTGCAAGCCACATCCACTCAGCTGATGAGTTCTTCACATGGCTACGTCAAATTATTTGCTGAAGCACAAAGCTGAACAGATTGGGTTGCCAACTTGCCGTTACAACCTTACCAGTATGATCGGTGACGTCCAGAGTGAACTCTTCAGCACTTGTACCAGACTGGTTCTGTTTCTGTGAGTGAGTGGAGGAGAGAGAACGAGAATAACAACAAGCACAGCAGCCACTGGACTTCAGTTTGCAGCTTTTTAACCCAATGTCATAGTCGCTGGGGGTCCGATTACATCGCTGTACTTGTACATGTGTACGTCCAGCAACATTCGTACCACCACCAGGGCCAGGTCAAGGGCTGTGCAAGTAACTGTTGAGGGTGCCAACATATGCACTTTGGGTCGGATCTCACCGAGCACAACTGTAGCTGTATGGGAAAGTAGTGTGCTGGTTGTCCATATTAGCTTCCTGCACCTTGCTCCTTGCTACACAAAGCCAATAACAATTAGAATAAAATATTTTCCTTCTCCAAATCCAGTTGCTTTTCAGAGGAAATTATCCATCCGGGGCCTGTGTGACCTGTGTGGCCTCAGTTCTCTAAAATACGTTACTGGATCAATTTGAATGGGACTGCAATTGAAATGGTTCTGTGCTGTAGGGTTTTTACTGTTTAATCAAACCAACACAAACTGGGGCCGAAATAGAATCATCAGGAGACTGAGAAAGAGAAAGACCCGTATAAATCATTAGGATTTACTGCCAAGCACACTTGAGCGTGTGACTTACCAGAGGGGATTTGGACATAATCTGAATGCACAGTGTTATGGCCTTTGTACGAGGCTGCAACTGGTACACTTGCAGACGATGGGGATACGCCGCTAGACTGGCAATTCCTTCATCATCCGTCAACACAGCGCTGTGACCGAGCACTGAACTGGACTCACACTGACTCTCTGAAGCCTGTAAACAATGTGTAAATACAGGAGAGAGAGAGAGGGGGGGGGGAGAGAGAGAGAGAGAGAGAGAGAGAGAGAGAGAGAGAGAGAGAGAGAGAGAGAGAGAGAGAGAGAGAGAGAGAGAGAGAGAGAGAGAGAGAGAGAGAGAGAGAGAGAGAGAGAGAGAGAGAGAGAGAGAGAGAGAGCTTTACGATAGGCCTCAGGAGAAGCATGGACCTGTACTTGGACATGCTTCCAAGTTAACACTTCTGGCATAGGGTGTAGCTGCATTGCCAACTGGCAACAGGCTAGCACACATGCACACATGCTCACACAGTGACACAAACAGCACAGCAGTACTTGTAGGACCTAGAAAACATCCCACAGCGAATACGAAAAGGATCTGCCTCAGATGCATTCAAAAGCACCCATGCTAAAGTCACTACACACACATTACGTCAACAGTTTGAAGTCCAGGGAAGGAACGCTCTTTGCCAGAACTTTGCAGCTTAGAGAGCGCTATGTGGGCAGGTGTGTATTTACCGCCCTTTCGCCAGGTGTGTGTGTTTTACCACCATTTCTCTTCCAGGGGCTTGAAGTCTGAACTTACCGTACTTGGCACGAATGGAACACAGTAGAACACGGACGCTGGCCCATACTCCACGTACATCTCATTGTTATACAGCTGGTAGTAAGGTTTCTCTATACCAAGCCAGTCACCCTGAGCAAACGGAGTGCACAGAAAAAGCAGCACATGTGACAGTGTGTGTGTGTGTGTGTGTGTGTGTGTGTGTGTGTGTGTGTGTGTGTGAGAATGTGGGACGGTGTGTGTTTGTGTGTGTGTGTGTGTGTGTGTGTGTGTGTGTGTGTGTGTGTGTGTGTGTGTGTGTGTGTGTTTGGTGCGATAGTGCAGGAGTATGGAGTGTGCGAGAGCGAGAGCGAGAGGCTGAGTGTACATTACGGGTATTTGAGCACTATTGCAGGTTAAGGCACTGCACTGCCTCTGTATAGTTTGCAACCATATTACTATACTTGCTCAAGTTTCATAGCAACCTTACTGGTACGTAATAGTACGTATCATAAACTGGTCTAGATAGGAATGGATATACAGTACATGTACCTTTTTGAAGAGCTGTGCCAGTTGCAGATGGTCGTCCCACAGAATCAGGCCAATGGAGGTACCCGCATCATCACTCAACGTCACACACAGCTGCAAATTCAAACAAAACACACACACACACACATGCCAGATGGTGTGATATAATTGACTAGCCACACGAAGATGTGGTGCAGCTAAGGCGGGATATGCACATACGCTAGGCTGCACAACGGCTAACTAGGCCATTAGTGGCACGTCCTGAAGTGGTTTAGTTTGCAAGCTACCAAGGTGGATGGACATGCCAACCATGCCAACGGAAGGCAGGGGGTTCGAAGCTCCCACCATTCTGAGAGGTTTCCAAGCTTGGTGCTGCACCACCGCCTTGTATCTTTGCTGCCAGCTCCACTCCACCACCCCCTGTTCATGGCATAATAACACCAGTGCTTGTGAAACGGAACACTGCCAGTGGGGCTGAGACTTGGCAGATCACAACAAGAGTTCGGATTACATGTTTGGTGTTGATCCTGGAACAGTTTCATGCTTCCTGAACATGTGGATCTGCTTTGCCTACCTGCGCCTTGGAATGATTCCTATTTCCCCCGAGTTGGGACGACAACAGACAAGGCAAGAGCAACAATAAATTGCATTGAGAAATATGATGGCTCGTGGATACAGCGTACTACTAAGCGACACGGGGAACTTACTTGTTGACTTGTACTGCCATCCGGAGAATGTACCGTCACTACTGGTGCTATTCGTGATACCTGACATGATTCAGGACAAGCAGACAGGCACACACACACACGCACACACACACACACACACGCACACACACACCACAAACACACACACGCGCACATCAGCATACAGTAGACAGACAGACAGACAGACAGACAGACAGACAGACAGACAGACAGACAGACAGACAGACAGACAGACAGACAGACAGTTCGGCAAAGGCTTGATATCCATAATAACAACACACCAGCACAGGTCCAGCCAAGGGGTTCATGCACTGCACTGGCGGATAGGCGGATCACGCAAAAGGAGCAAGACTTGACTGATTGATACTGATCTATTCACGGTTCGACGATAGTCGATAGTAGGTAATTATTCTGAAGAAAACTATCGTCGAAACGTTAAAATATCGGTATCAATCAGTCAAGTCTTTCTCCTGTTGTGTGGTCCGACTATCAGACAGACAAATAGACAGACAGACAGACAGAGAGACAGAGAGACAGACAGACAGACAGACACGACACAGGCAAATAAGCTAGCAGAAACGAATGATACAGACAGCCAACCAGATCAGCATGCACACAAAAAGTATGTGTACACGTAAAAGCATCCACACTGCATAATAGATGTGAACTCCAGCCTCATAGCTCCCATGGAAGAATGCAAACAGGATCAAGAAGAGTGGAGAGTAAACCCCTCAGGCAATGGCATACCCTGAACAGGATAGGTGAGCCATATCCACTGCTGATTTGGTTCAGAGAAAGCTGGGTACTGAACCTGCACAGAAACACACACATAAGCAAGTGCAAACACACAAGTACACTGTACAAAATTAACATACCGTAAAGCCATAGTAATTAGTATACCGATCAACAAGTACGCTAACAGTGAATACGTTTCGGAATGAAATCCAGTTTGTTTGCTGACAAACCAAAACTGACTGATAAATGATACACTGGGAACTCCAATATGCGCAGTGTTTGAGCGAAGCAGATGCGGGCACACACACATACACACAGTCACAGACACATAACTCACCCGTCCATCATCAAACTCTCACAATCGGATAAGAACACCATAATGTCAGTAGGTAGAAGGTGTCTGGCTGCTCGAGGTCCACTCCTACTAGTGCTGGTGTTGCGCACGCCTGCATTCTGCGACTGCTGAAGACGACAGCGTGTTAGACGGACACGAGAGTTCTGCAGCCGGTAACAAGACATTGTGCATTCATGTTCACACACGCACACGCACACACACGTGCGCGCGCACATGCACGCACACGTGCGCACACATGTATACACGCACACACACACGCACATACACGCGCACCATTTGACTGATTTGAATACTTGAGCGCCTATATTCCATATAATAATGTGGAAAGCAGGCCAGTAATGTGTTTTACATGTATGACTATACGTGTGACTATGTTTAGACATAGGACCAGAAGAACATGGTACAACACCCGTACCCCATATATATGCCCATGTCTGCACTGTGTTCGTGTTTGCACACTCTGCTCAACGGTTGTTCTTTGTTTGCCATTCTCCTTGCAGGTTAGAAACGAATTCAATCCGAAGACACCACACATGGATCACACTCAGCTGGAAACTTCGCTGGGTGAGTAGCACTGAGTAGGATACTTACAGTTTGTAGCTGTGGGTGCTGGTAGAACTTCTGGTGCAGGTACATCTCTAGCGATGCTCCTTTGTCAGCCTCAGGGTTCTCTTTCAGCCATGCCAGAGCTATACAGTCACAGCTACCATTAAGGACAACACACAGCAGGCTAGAGAACCAACACAAATGGCACTCGAACCCAGAATATACCGTAAGGGGGGGGGGGGGGGAGAGAGAGAGAGAGAGAGAGAGAGAGAGAGAGAGAGAGAGAGAGAGAGAGAGAGAGAGAGAGAGAGAGAGAGAGAGAGAGAGAGAGAGAGAGAGAGAGAGAGAGAGAGAGAGAGAGAGAGAGAGAGAGAGAGAGAGAGAGAGAGAGAGAGAGAGAGAGAGAGAGAGAGAGAGAGAGAGAGAGAGAGAGAGAGAGAGAGAGAGAGAGAGAGAGAGAGAGAGAGAGAGAGAAGGAGAGAGAGAGAGAGAGAGAGAGAGAGAGAGAAGGAGAGAGAGGGAGAGAGAGAGAGAGAGAGAGAGAGAGAGAGAGAGAGAGAGAGAGAGAGAGAGAGAGAGAGAGAGAGAGAGAGAGAGAGAGAGAGAGAGAGAGAGAGAGAGAGAGAGAGAGAATAGTTGCACAATAAAAAAACTATTCTGGGCCTGAAATTGCAGGCCCGATTTCGCCACCATGCCTGTACGGTACATGTACAGCACAGCTGCTTGTGCACAGTAGGGTCCTTCTTAACCCCCCCGGTTAGGAGGAATGTGTGTGTGTGTGGGGGGGGGGGGGGGAGGGGGCTTAGTACCTAACTGTGCACAGGCCAGACATGGTCATGAAAGGATAAAGAGATATTCACAATTTGAAGAACACAAGTGCCAGAGACTCTGGTTGGTGGATCTGATCTATCCTCCCCCACCGTTTAGGAGCCGCATCTGACGCCTGATCATGGGGTGGTGGCGTCCCACGGAAGCGGAAAGGTGGTTCTTGACCAGGAAGTTGTACGACTCCTTGTTCTTGACCTGCCCGGTACGCGAACCCCGTCAATTTTTTTTTTTTTTTAGTGCCAGAGCCACGGGCACAGTGCTTTACGCAGGAGAAAGCAAAGATCATGATAATGTTCTACATCAATGTGTGGAGAGCGCACAGCGTAGGATACGAATATTGGTGCCTGGCAAAGCATGCGGCAGCGTCAGTGTGCCTTCCAGTATGGCCTCTGGACTGATGAAGCGTGATTGGACAAAATCGGTTATAGAAATCTCTGCATAGTTAGCACACATAGTACAAACATATACATGCACATACACACACATACACACACACACACACACACACACACACACACATACACACACACACACGCATACACACACACACACACACACACACACACATACACACATACACACATACACACGCATACACACACACACACACAGTCATAATCATATTACACACATAGACCAAGTGTCTAGGGTCCTTGATGCAAAGAGTGCTATATGCCCTCGCTAGGGCAGAGCATACCACACAAAGGCAAAGCAACGGAGATAACTCTGGGGCTTCGTGTTCAGAAACACTCCTCAGACAGTTACCAGTTCAAGCTATTACTTTTGTACACATATACATACACAGGCATAAGTATAGACAGACAGACAGATGAACAGACAGGCAGACAGAGAAGCACACAGGCAGGTAGGCAGGCAGACTAAAGCACACGGCTAAACAACATCACACGCATGAACATTGTCATAGAGTAAGGCAGGAGGGTAGGGGAAGTCATACCTGTCGTACAGGAATATGCAATAGACTATCCACAGAAACTATGGCTTACACAAGTTACAGCGAGTATTACGTCACGGTCACAACAGTCATATACATCTAGGATCGCTGCCTACACAACACCTGCGCTTTGTGTTTGGATAGCTGGTAGTTGCCTAGGTAGAGTACTGTAGAACGGGTAAACATTTTAGCGTTTTCTGAATCTGGACCAATTCGCTACATTAGCGAAAATACTCCTCTCGCTAAAATCGCTTAATCTAGCCTTTTTACAGTAGCAGGGTTTCCTATGATTGCTACATGTTTAGCTCCTTCCTCCCAAGCAGGAGAACTCAAGCTAAAAACGAATAACAAGACAATAACAAGTGTAGGAGCATGTGACGGACACCTAAATTCAATCGCTGGAAGGGACACTCACTCTTGCACTCGCCATCCTGCCAGGAAGCAGCACTATTGCCATCACTCCACAGCATCTGCAGCTCCGACAAGATAATGGCGTTAGTCACACCAGTCGGGTACCTGTGTCACAGCAAGCAAGGAAAGAGCATTGGCCCAAAGCATCCATTCATAATTAATAATTACACCTTTGACAGAAAACCATTAGCTCCATCACCAGAGAGATAACTACTCTTCTAAACATAATAGACCGGGAAGACAGCCAGGAAACCCAAACCAGAAACACTCACAGATATTCCATGCCACCTAAACACATACATGTACGTACCTTGCTAAAAGAGAGAACAGCTCTTTGCACATCCATGACCTGGAATAAGACATTGAGGAACACGTCAGGGAAACTTCACAACATACACTGACAGCTCATAACAATCAAGAAAAGAACAGGTTTCAGGCTCCTCACGAACAGCACTGTCAACACTTTTTCCACGAGTACTTTCGGTGCTTTCTCAGCAGGTGAAACACAGGCAAAACAAAGAAAACGAACACGCACGGTGGATTTTATACATCAGAGACATGATAGAAACAGCGTAAAGAAGCGTATCCGGAAACAGCACGGTAAAGTGTGTAACTTCATACAAATAGAACTAAGACGGAGTGACAAAAAGGTGCAAATATGAAGAACCCAAATAGGTGAGTGAGTGATGTATTTCAACAACAATAGGCAACCAATGGATGAAACTAACGAGTTGTTGATAATCCAAATCCCCGCCTAAGTGTGAATTTATTTTAAATTTTTTTGCTTGCGAGGTCAGGCCTCCTTGCGTGAATATAAACAGCATTCAATAATTCTTTGCGCTGTTTCCATCACATTTGTGCTGCATAAATTTCATTGCGCTCGACAGCTTTCACACCAAGGTTCAACTCGAGTGACAGGACTGCACCCAAAAAAGGTCAAACAGGCTAGTGAGTTGTACCCTGCAGGCACGGTGACCAGGTGACTGGCGTACGCAGGAGCACGTGACCGCTTGTTCAACCATGTTCGATTGGGAATAAAGGAGGAACGCTGCATCGCAGCCTTTTCGGACCAAAACCAGTTGACTCAGCGTCCAAAAGACTACAACATATGGGCCAATCGCGGTCATCCGTGCTTTTATAAGAACGACATGGCGCTTTTAGTGACATTTTGCATACAAATCCCCATCTAGTAGGGCGCAGTCACCCAGTTTCGGTGGAAGTGCGCAAGTTTGATTGGGATTAAAGTAGGAAGGGAGCGTCTCAGCTTCCTCGGACCACGACCGTTCGACTCAGCACCCCGAAGACAACTGGTGAAATTTTGATTTTAGCCTTAACTTCCCCTTTAAAGACACTCCAGCAAGAGCCACTGCTTGACCCTGACAGCGTACAAGAAATTGCTGTAGCTACAACTCTAGCCGAACCAGGAGCTACTGCAATCAGCACTACTCAGCCTCTTTCTGACATGTTGAGTCAGGTACAGCCCTTGTTGTGGCAAATGCTTCTAGCTCTAGCAATTTAAATATTTCAGTGGCCTTTTCAGGCATTCCAAGCTCCTGGAAACCACTACAAGAACATAAGGACAAAGTGGTGGTGCCATGAACGCCTTACCATGGTATGTCAACTGAACGTTTTCCAGTACTAGCATTTGCCTTGATAAGGCACTGAAGCTCTTCAATCCGATCACAGCATTGCTTCAACCACAGATGATTGCCGGTGCTCATGGCCAATTCGTCTACACCACAACCTAAATTATGCTGGCTGAGCTGAAGACTCAAAAGGTAGTAAGAAAATACTGCAAACTGTAAAATACTGCAAACTGTAAGAGTTGGAGGCCAATGAGATCTGCGAGTTGCGATTTGTATCGCAGAGCTTCACCTTGGTGCATGTGCCTAGGCTATGGCATCTAGCTTGAGAAATAGGTCTTGGAGTAGAACTAGAAGACCCAAGTGCCATGCATGAAAGCTTCAAAACGCCCGCTGAACTCTGAAACTTGCCATTGAATCCATTTGAACATGTTCGTTGTTTGTTGATTATTTTGCATGCATGCTTGAATGTTTGAATATTGCCGCTAAATTTTTTCTACGAAATAATTTTTCTTCGTGATCACTGATGACGCAGGCATATCCCCGATTCCCCATACGCAGTCATGTGATCGTGAAGAGAGAAAGAATCCCAGGGTCTGGCCACGGAAGTCGTCAAAATTAATAGTTGAAATAGCAGAAATACTAGTTTTGACTTAGGGGCCGTCCAAGGTTGCCAATAATATTTTCAAAACGAAATGTTTTCTTTTGTGGGTGGGTGGGTTTGATGGAGTTTCGTTTTGAAAATAATTATTGAATGCTGATGGAGAATGCCCAGTTATCACATGGCACGTGATTGTTGCCCGTACTCCAGCGAATCAGCACCTTTCGCGCCGCGGGCAATAATATGCGATATTGCCCGCAAAAAAATAGTTTATTTGCCCGCAAAAAATAGTTTATTTCAGTGATCGCGTGACTACGAGTACGACGACTCTGTAGACTGTACGACTCTACGACGAGTCGCAGTGTAGCATTGAGACGAAGATGGAATTCTTTTTGGAGATGGACATCCCGGCAATAGACATGGCCTCGGACGTCTGCCGTGTGGTGCTTGCAGGGATCATTTGTTCAGTGACTCATGTTGGCAGCCTGACCGTCGGTAAGCTTGTGGATAAGATTCAGTTCTGCTCGAAGTGGTACTGTGATCACAAACAATTATTTGAAATAACACAAATTCAACTCAGCGTCGTGCGTTTTCAAATCCTCGCAAAGTCACTGCCTGTGTGTGGTCTTCATGTGCCACGCAAAACTCTTACCAGGCTCATCTGTCCTCTGCCTTCACCTTTGCTTGAACAACAAACACAACAATTCAGGAATGTTTTGCAATGAAAAATACAGCTATCTGGAGCTGAAAAAAAGAAGAAAAATTGTCCTCAGAATTACACACCAGGGAGTCGTCAAATACTTGCACTTGTTGCAGTACTGTATTTGACAACTTCCTGATACACATGTAAACATGAAGAAACTCTTTGTGGTAGCACTCTTAATTTTTCAACTGAAATTATGATTCTGCTGTATTTTATTGTCGTTGCCATGTCTATTGCTATGACGATGCGGTGCCGGCACTTTTTTTCTGTCTCCGTCTTTCAGTACTGTATACTCTCTGATGGCCTGTAGCAGACTTTTTGTTAGGGTGTAGGAGAAATATCTTCATTTTTCCTGTTTTGATAATGATAGCACATCAATATACATTGTGGTCATAATGTGTTGGCATTTGGGCTAATTTCAACAGCAGCCCAATGGTCTGCTCTGTGGGCCATGTGATAAATTTGTTATCGCATGGTTGCTGCGGGCCTTATGGCATATTATTGCCCCTCGAGGTTAGCCCTCGGGCTAACCTCTCGGGGCAATAATATGCCATAAGGCCCTTGCAACCATGCGATAACATATACTTACTTCTGGGTGTCGAAAATTGACATGAATATTTTATTGGAATTTGTTTTACCTGCAGAAAAGGTGGGTGGGTGGGTGGGGGCTGAAAAATACTAAAACTTTTCGTTTTGTAAAAACAACCGGTAACCCCGGACGGCCCCTTACATGACATTGTATGTGGCTGCCAGGCATAACACCTATCCAGAACAGTTCAGCCCACAATACTCTGTCCTGACCCGCTGAAAACGACTCGAGTACCTCCTTGTCCTGGCCAAACAAAACGTCTTCCTAATCCAAGCAGCAGCCATGAAGGCGCTAGTGGCAGTAGTGGCAAGGCCTGGTGTAATCGGTCGGGTTGATCTGCTCGGGGCTGGACAAGCCTTTCAGCCACCGGTCATGCACAAAATGTTTCACCGCCAATTCATATGCACATATGCACGCATGCACACAGAGGGAGAGTAGTGCTACATGTGCTCGTATTCGAAAAGAAGACGAGCCGAGCTTCAACAAGTAAGTTGTGATGACATCAAAACATCAGCAGACACTATGGCTTGGCAGTGCATGCTACGGGTCATCAAGAGACATAGGATGATTGATGTTCACAACACCCGTTGCAGGTAGCAGCAGCACAGCACAGATAAGGCGTGATCCAGCACATAGCAATGGTGGCAATGAAGCATACAAGTACATGTTTGTGCTCCGTGAGTGAACAACCAATGAGAGATCATGGCAAGATTTACACGGAGTTTCCATCAGAGTGCCAAAACCATGGCAATAACAATAGAAGAGCTAGAGGCCTTGACAAATTCGTTACTCACATGAACTATATCCAGCCACAAGGGTAGCAACTGCACAGCAGCGCTGGGGATACGCGACGGATAGACGCTAATTTTAGATGAACTTCTAACTTTTATAATCGATTCACCGGAAATGTGTCAATAAATCTCACACAGCGCACATGTTGCATCAACTCATGTACGCTATATTAGTTTGGGCAATATGTTCTAGCCGGGTATCTCAACAATCTCATGAAAGCACTTGAGAGCAAATCACATACTCCGTTGCCAAGTAGAAGGAGGAGAACGAGAACAAGAAGAAGAAGGCACACTCAACAACCCGGCTTGACTCTACTAGTGTGGTGATGGCTGCACGGGGCTGGCAACGATGAGGTCACCAAACATACTCCTCACCCATGGTGATGGGCAGGCACAGCACTCGCCCTGGCTGCCAGATAACACAGGACAGACAAAGACGACCAGGACCAGTAGTAACACGAACACCGCGACTGAATACAGCAGGAAGCGGACCGTCGACTGAAAGCAACTTGTCTTGGCTGGCATAGGCGGGGTGCAGAGTTTACTCTGAGAGAACACAGCACAATAGAACACAAGGTGGTTGAAGATACACTTCCCAAAATACCTAGCATCGCTATTAATGTACAGTAGAGTGAGTAGACCCTCGCTTTCCGCCCCCTTTGGGCAGGAATCTGCAAAAAGATGTGCGGATTGGTGACATCCATTCTGTGTAGCATGCATTTCTAGTTTTTCTACATATCAAAAGTTCAGCACAATCAATTTACACACCCGGTCAACATTTCACCTGCAACTGCCGGGCACTGAAGAACGGAGCGCCAAAGAACGAACCGGGTAGGATAACGCCAAGCACACCAATACATACGCAGTCCTCAACTGCGCATGGACTGTAGTACTCGTACATGAAAAATAACAATGGCCTAGGCTAGAAGGCTGACCCCCCTCCCCAGTTCTTCGGCTTTCAACTCTTACAGCAGTTCACATTAGACAGGGACCACCATACACTACTCCAATGGATATTGCCCCTGCTTCTATAGACCAAGTGTTCATAGGCAAAATGATCTGTGGAAGCCGATGTCAGGACTGGGCTTGTATTCAAACCAGGTACTTCCGACAAGGAATACGTGCCCCCAGAGAGCTGTACAGTTGAATACATACCAGTCAGACTTCATTTATTTTAACGTTAGACCAGTACTACATTTTTACAGCGTACATGTACATCTACAACGCATCACACATATTCTATTCTCCAAGGAATCAATTCTTACAGAGTCAGTGAATTCCTCGTCAACTGATGGCGACATATCCGCCGAATCACCACGACTCCACGTCCGCAACCTCCTCCGCGTTGACTTTATAGGCGACTCTGTCGATGGCGAGGTTCTCAATGCTGGAGACACTGGCTGTGCATGACAAGGGGACGCACTCAGACTCTCATTGGACGAATCGGTGATGCTAGGTGACGAGGCCTGCACACACACATACACACAAACGATTGGGTCTCATACAATGACCAAGCTGACTGCAAGTGCAGGGTAAGCAGCACTTCACAGCTTCTATTCAAACGATTTACTAATGCACAGTATACTTGCACTAGAGATGCCTGAAATGAAAAGCACTGGTGGGATAGACACGTAGCTTCAGCAGTATACAACGGTTGTCAGTCAAGATACAAGACGGCGTTCAAGTGTTCAATTCCCAAACAAATCGGCACATCTGTGCATGCAGGGTACACAGCGCATTAGTATAATTATTTATTAATTTTGAATAGGGCATTCCTACAGGCCTCCTTATGGGGTACCCTACATGTTTTTGTATGGGTGAGCGACATGGCAAATACTTTGCAGAACACTTTGCAAATGAAAGATAGACCAAAGAGGTAAACGGTGGACAAACGCTGCAAGCCTAAAAGCAGAACCCCCCCCCCCCTTTCTTCACCACAAGATCAGGTTTGCAGCGAGGTTGCAAGATGCAGGAGGTGCTCACCTAGGTCAATATAGCATCACACACACACACACACACACACGCACGCACACAGGCACGCGCGCGTGTACACGCACAAAGGCACGCGCACGTGTACATGCACCTTCCTGGACAGAAGAGAGAACATAGCACCATATCACAGACATTATTTACCAAGCGCATCCCTCGTCTGGATTTCCCAAGTTTGTTTCCATTGCCTAGGTTATGTTTAAGGTGCAGTTCACCAACCATTTTGGCACGCTCTGCCTCGGTATTCAGTAGCCGCTGGCGCAGTGATTCGCACTCGGCCGAGACCTCCTTGGCCAGCTTTTCCGCCTGCTCCCGTTGCTCCAGCGCGACCGTCAGATCAGCCCGAGCTGCCTTCAACTGCTGGCGCGCAGCCAGTGCCTTCTTGGCGGTTTGGTTGCGCGATGCAACGAGCTTGCGAAGCTTGTCTTCAAACGTTACCATCATGTCACCATTGAGAGGCTTTGCGTGTCGACTAGCAGTATCATCCACGTCCACTGAAAATGAATGGCTCAGATCTGCTACTTGCTGCAGAGCCAACGTTTTCTTCTCATCAAAGTGGTCACGGAATGCTGCTACAACGTCCAATAGCTCACTGGCACTGGATGTTGTTTTGAAGTCAAATATGGATCCATCACTAGGTGTTGGGGACACACAGTCGACGGCCTGGTTTCCGGATGCTGGTGTTTTGCAACCATCAACACCAAGCAACGGCGACTTATTGCCGCCCAATGTCTGAAGCAGCTCGCGTCGCAGGTCACCATGCTCCCTCAGCGGTGTGCTTTGATTCACTGGCACTCCGACCTGTTCGGATGCACCGACCTGCACCCGTACAATGCTCTCAAAGGTGTCGGGTGTTCGGCCACGCTGCTGTGTCTGTAGGTCACCAAGCTGAGCCTCCAAATGTCCCTTCTCAGTACGCAAATCATTGCAAGTGTTCATCAGATCACCAAGACGCTGCTCCAGGGCTTGAGTCCTGTCTGCCGACTGGGCAAGCTGCTCATGTATACCAGCTAGAGATGCATCGTCACTACCACTACCTCCAAATAATTGAAGAGCTGAGTTGTAATCATCCTGCAGGCATTCCAGTTTTTTTCTCAAAGTATGCTCCTCATCTTCAGCTGCTCCCAATTTAGCCAACAACCCAGTTTTCTCCTGCTCCAAACTGGATACACGGGTTTCTAAAGTTATGCTGCGGCCTTTCTCCTGTGCAAGAGATGCACGCAGCGTGTCATTCTCTTCCTCCATTGATATGCGGAGTCGGCGGAGGCTTTCAAAATTCACCACACGTTTTTCGGCAGATGCTAATCTCAAGCGCAAATCACAGCTCTCGTCCTCGTTCTCCTGATCAGCTTGCCTCAGCAGTCTGTTTTCGTCCGTCAAGCGGCGTATCAACAAATGCTGTTGGTGAATCAGCTGGCGATCTGCCTCAGCTTCAAGCTCTTGCTGTCCGGCTGAGAAATCACCACTGCCTTCCTCAGAAGCATATTCCGATCCCGTGCCACTTTCGAAAGTAGAATGATGTACGCACTGAGCCATTTTCTAGGTACGAATGGACCGCGTGAGTACCCAAGACCAAAACTGGCAAAAAGACAGACACTGATGCGCTAGCGAGTAGCGTTGCACCAAGCACCAGTGCAGGGTGCAGAGGGACACGAGCGATCTGCCCGGTACGGGGAACGGGGAAGTCAGTTTCCACCTGTAGCTGCTGGTGCACACTCGGGGCTTGGAACTGGAAGCCAAATCGGAGGAACTGTTTTTTGACAAAATCTGCAGCAGAACCGCTGCATATGCTTATTATGCAGCTAGTATGAGTATGAAAAGGACATGTCAGACCTGGAAACTACATCTTGACTTGACGTTAGAGTCCTTTCCAAGACCTGGCACCAGGCAGTAGGAAGGAGGCTAGGTGCAAAGTCGACAACATGACTTGTTACGAGTCACAAGTACTACCGTCTTAGTGACTACCATCCATGGTATACCAGGTACAGGTATCAGCTCCTTGCATGCTGGAGCTCCTGGACGTGTTGATCATCGCAGCCGTTGGCATGGGAGGGTGGATCGCCTGTTCGTCGCTGAGTTCAAAAACCGGTGGAAGCCACACAACAATGAACGCAGCGACGGTGCACCGAGTGACCCCTTCGCCCCGCTCGGCTTCGACCCAAGCTCGCGGAGTCGTGGGCAGGGTAAAAATGCACAGTCGTCCTGATCCGCTGAACAGCCTGAAGTCAAGTGCGTCGCAAGTCAGGCACAGTGCATAGCAGTGATGATCGATGGACGGTGAGCATGGTAATGTGATTGTGAAGACTGAAGTATGCACGGACACTTCATCAAGGACAAAATAAATAAAAGGCCATGCAGGGTTGTCCATCATCCCGCAGCGCATGGACAGGTCCAGCCCAGGGAGCCCTACACACTGTACCGCTCCCTGGTCCAGCCATTGCCACACATAACCACACAATGTTAAAGGGGCACTCCGGCTTCATTTTCGACGCCGAGTTTTCGATGCCAAGACGAAGGTAGGTGAAAGAGAAGACCCCTCGAACAAGAACGAGTCTCCAGAAGCGATCGAGTCGAGCAGGAAGACGACTTTTGAATTTAGGCCGAGCGAGCGCTGATGACGTAATGAGGGATTAGCTTGCCAGTGGAAATGCATCTGCGCACATACATTTCACACACTTTTTGGCCAATTTTCAATCGAAGAGGAGGTTGTTTGCTATGTTCTCCCAACGCCGTGAGCGATCCCGTCTTCTATACCCTTCCAGGTACCCTGAAGGTCCTCCAGAGGAGAATTTATCTCCAGCAAAGCGTTGTTGATCCGCTAAATTCGTCTCGAGACACATTCACCCAGTGCAGTGCTGATAAATGTAGAATGTTGAATCTGTGATAATTGTCGACGATGGAGAGAGAGGCTGATAGCGGCTGTCGCAGGGAGAGTGAAGCTGCTGGAAGTAACAACGGGGAGCCCGTTTGTATCACCTGAACAACCAGACTTCAAAGCAGTTTGACCAAATCGGAGGGTGCCTCGTTGCTTATCGTGAATATTACACCGACATGAATTACTACAAGTACATGTATACTGGTGAGTTTTTATCTTGTTTTGTTCGTATGCTAGTACCCTGGCCTGGAGTTCTCGTTAGCAAATTCCTATCCCCTGGCGTTTTCTAAACATTCCGTGTAGGACTGAATACGTGATCAAGTATTCCGATTTGGGTAGATGTGGAATTTGGACATGTATTTTATAAAAAAATTATATTTTCCAAATAGAGCGTTTGTAGAGAAATGGTTGCCCAAATACAACAAAATTTATTCTGCAGTTCTACAACTTGTACTGAAATCCAGTCAAAGTAAAAATGATTCTTCATGACAGTTGGGGTCAATCTAATCTGATCCAGGTATAACGAATGGTGATGCCTGCCACCCTGGGACCGAATGCTCATTTGGTGGGGGATACCAAAGTACTCGAAAGTAGTGCGTGTTTCAATGTGGCATGGAAGTTTTATATGATCTCTGGTCAATGCAACATGCGATAGCCATCATGAATTGCAGGCCTTGAACGCAACTCCGACCAGAATTGGCAGTTCCCTAAGTTAGATGCTTTCTAATTCCATGGCCCCAGCTGTAGTTATAGAGGGGTGTTTGCACATTATTCTTATAGTCGATAGGTTTATACTGATGGCCACAAACAACGGCAGTTCAAACTTCACTGATGTGTTCATGAGCTGAGAGATTTCTCTCCACTATTTCTGTTGTGCACACAGGTCTGTCCAATATGCATTGACCGTATTGGGTATGGTACCTGCTCTGAGAAGGGAATCGCTGGAGCCACAGTCCAACTATACAGGCTTTCAAGAAACAGAGAGGAGCCATCTTTGCAAGCTGATACCTGATGTGTACCGACAGAATTCTCACGAGATACCTTACGGACTACGCCTGGTGTATACTTCATAGTACTCCTTCGACTACTGTCTAGAATCAAGTCGACTGAAACAAGTTCAAACAACTCTGGTTTCAAACGAGCCGTCGATTAGACAAACAAAACATTCTCTCATATACTAGAGCACTCTGACAACTCACGACCTATTCCTAACGATTGCCACCACTTATGTAGAGTACTGATTGGAATGTGCTCACAATCTCAACAATTCAGTGCTATAATTATTTGAACAATGTGTTCTTTCCATAAATGTTGTATCCACATATAATCCACAGTGCTGCAAAGTTTCAGAGTTCTCAGGGTATCAAACAAAATTATTTGAAATACAGTGAAATTGTTCGTGGACATTATAGCGTAACTTGTAGTTCCCTGGTCCTTTTCTTTGCTATAAATTAATCCTTTGCTCTCTAGCCGCCGGCGAGTCCAACAGTGAAATTGTTAGTTCATATTTATGTGGGTATGTGGGAGGGGGGTTGAACATATTTCTATATAAGGGACCTGCAACTGTAATACCACAGTACAGTAGATGGCAAATATGTAAAGTAAAAAAAAAAGTAAAGTTTGTTGAGAAACACAACCAGCGGAAGTTTCGAATGTGCCAGGCCACCACCATGCCTATGATGCCAGGGTGGCAGATGCAGCGCCTAACGGCGAGGGTGAGGTGGTAAGTCTCACAAACAATGCATGACAAGGGGGCTAACCTTGTTAGCTGCATCCATGTTGCCCTCACTCCGAGTAGTGAGTACCCAGTTGACTGTGGGTATCGGCGCAGTTCACTGCATGTAAAGTGGTTCATGCGTGCATTACCGCATTTGCTAGCACAGCACACGCTCCCTGCTCCCAGCGCGGGTCTCGAACTTGGGACCTTGTGATTCGCAGGCAAGCCCACAACCGCTCGGCCAAAGCGCTGGTCATATGTAGAAAACAGAAATGCATCTTCCCATCATTGTACATGGACGGGCGCAGCAGGCCGAAGCTATAAGCCAGAACAGGATTTACAATCACCTAGAGATACTTGAGCTATTCCAGTATTCTCCGTGAGCTGTCCCATTCCACAATGGTTCATGCCACCATTATTTCTGGTAGTATCCATGTGCATAATTCCAAGACCATCTCGGATTCTTCAGCAATTTGTGCCACGGCAAAAGACAACGCTTGACTCCGTCACTGGGGCTGTCAAACTTCGCATCACAAATGAACTTCAATTTCTCATCTGGTTCAAGTATATGTACTGCCATGACTTGACCATGCTTCATCCACAGCTAGGCGAATATTGTGGTGTTGAATTCCATAGCGCATCTTCTTGCTGCCATGCAGGAGTATGTTGAGAGAAGTGAACATATTTTTACTAAAAAAACAACAGCCACTGAAGAGGATAGCATTACCAATAGCCTTGGGTGAATTTCCTGCAGGTACACGTTGTTGGTAGGTCTACTGGTCGGTCTCCATATCGTCAAGTTCAGAAATCACCTGTACTACACATCTTGTAGAAGGGATCCTGATCGAATAATTTTCTGGTCATAAAATTCACTAAACTGAGGGCGAGACAAATAGTCAGTACTCCCCGATTCCGTCAAGCTGCTTTGATCAAGTTATGCTAACAAGCTCCCAGTTGTTACTTCCAGCAGCTTCACTTTCCCTGCGACAGCGGCTATCAACCTCTCTCTCCATCGTCGACAATTATCACAGATTCAACATTCTACATTTATCGGCACTGCACTGGGTGAATATGTCTCGAGACGAATTTAGCGGATCAACAACGCTTTGCTGGAGATAAATTCTCCTCTGGAGGACCTTCAGGGTACCTGGAAGGATAGAAGACGGGATCGCTCACGGCGTTGGGAGAACATAGCAAACAACCTCCTCTTCGATTGAAAATTGGCCAAAAAGTGTGTGAAATGTATGTGCGCAGATGCATTTCCACTGGCAAGCTAATCCCTCATTACGTCATCAGCGCTCGCTCGGCCTAAATTCAAAAGTCGTCTTCCTGCTCGACTCGATCGCTTCTGGAGACTCGTTCTTGTTCGAGGGGTCTTCTCTTTCACCTACCTTCGTCTTGGCATCGAAAACTCGGCGTCGAAAATGAAGCCGGAGTGCCCCTTTAACGACTGTTATAATAAGAATTACTTTAGCAAGTCACGGAACGCAAAGTAATGTTAGTTTGTCTCTCTGCAGCTCAGCAGAGATCGGGAACCTACCTGCGTTCCAGACCCCATAGTATTCACCACCTGCCAAGCCGAAGCGAAGGCACACCACGACACGGTCGACACCATGCATGCTCTTTCGGTGTAAAATAGACCGATCCCCTTATTATACTGGGTTCGAGCACGGGGGCAACCTCACTCGCGATCGAGCTAGTTTTTGAACGTGACAGCATCTTTGACAGTGTGTTTCAGGTTTGTTTTGGAATGTCTTCTGCTTAGTTCAAGTAGTTTGCGATGGCTTCGAGCGGTGCTAAACCTCCTGCTGGTAGGAGCAGAGTCTCCGAGAGAGACATGGACTGTGATGCCGCTGCAGGATTTTTTCAAGGCGCGGGAGGGAACGATCTCGGGCCACAAACAGGAGTTACTCCAGAGGTGAGTTTTTTTGTTGTTGAAATATTTGAATCGCGAATCGTGTTGTGAGATTTATCTTGTGCCTAGGCTACAGCAGACCACATTTCTTTCTCCTTGCGATCGGTGCTGAAGATAATATTAACCTTTTTCTGGTCTGTCTTTTCCTCTCCAGAGCCATCTTCTATGAAGGTAACCGTGGTGCTGCCAAGTCACCAAGTCGCGATCAGCAGCCCTGAAGTGGAAAATCGATTTTCCAACGATCTGGTTGGACATCAGCCACTAAAGTACTTCTGATTTGCCTGTAATGACAACAGCAGCCATCCTTGGACACCTTGCAAAGACAGGAAAAGCCACTGGTGGAAGCGACTGCTATGAGGTGACGATAGCAGTGCAGTGGTGATCGCTGTTTTGTCAAGTCGAAGGGCTAGCCAACCCAGAGGAAGCATAAAAAAACGATGAGCAGTGCGTGTTATTTGTTGAGCGTGAAGAGCTAGAGGAGGACAGTGCAAAAACATGGACGGAGTGGATGGTGTTTGAAGAACAGTGTGCTGTGTGCCGGCTGGTGGTGATGGTGGTCTTTGTCAGCATGTATTCGTGCTGCTCCTTGTGCTGGAACACTTCTCGCCCAGGAAGGTAGATTGCGTGCTCCCTGGCCCTCAGTTGGCTATGGGGCATTTGTTCCAGGAACATTACCCCAGAGCCAATGATGAGTCGTACCTTTGAAAAGTCGAAGCTTGCTGTTAATCGCAAGCGCAGCGCAGTGGATTGCTCCCTCTTCGAAGCACGAGGGCCAAAGCTTGCCGCTGTCTGCAGCAAAGTGTGTGTGCGGTTCTTTCGAACCTATGAATATACCCCCTGCACGTTCAGAGTGAACTATTTTCTAGTATATTTAACATCCTCAACCCGCCACCGCCATGCGCTCTTGGCCGAACTAATGCACGAAGCATAAACACACCAGCACAGCAAGGACACTTCCGTTGACAGATATTGTTTACGCCTCTAGACCGCTGTTTCTTTTCTTCGAGCTCATCGTTAGAGGAGGATAGTAGCAGGATACTAATGATGATATAATAGAAGATGATAGACGGTTTATGGTCCGATATTGATGATTGAAGATCTAAGAAAGCAATGACAGTGATTGCGAAATGGATAATATTATCATGATTATATGCCAGTCTGGTAATGCGTTGTACTAGTGGACAGTATTGAAATCATCACTGCATTTGATGCAAATATTGGTATACCTTTGGTTTCAGTATTGGAAAAAAAGAGTAAGAGAACCTGGTTGATTTGGTTGCATCTGCGACTGGCTACTGGGTGTTGTGATCAGCAATGTTACCATGGGAGAAAATAAGAGCGCAAGGATCTGTTGGGTCTTGTTGTGCCGGTGCGAGAACCCTAAGTGCATGGCAAAATAGAACTGTTTCATCCACAATGCAGAATGTCTTGCGGCAAGAGTCCATAATTTATGCACATAGTTTATGCACTCTTGCTTGCGGTACATGGCATTGATGACTGAACATCTCGCCAGCTCGCCCAAATGGGGATCATGCCCAAACGGAGGAACAAGACAACTTTCCAGCTCAGCTAGCTATATAGTATATACCGTGAAACGGATGATTAACTTGTGCCACGCATTACAGCTTCTGTCCCATTCGGCCCAGGCTTAGACACATCAATGCCAATAGCAGCTGATCCTCCATTACATGCTCATTGGCGATTTACGGCCACCTCCAACTGCATCCGCCGTCCCTCAGCTTCCGTCTTCGCAGATCTGGCTCGGCGCAGTACATTTTCTCGGCTAGGCTCAAAGAAGTCCCACAGAGCGGTCCAAACACCTGAAGGCAAACCAGTCAGAAACTGGCGCGGCTCAGAGTCTTTCTTTATGTTATTGTACGTAAGCTGTTTTTCGGCTTTCTTCACCCCATCGTCCAACTGCTCCACGAGACTCTGTACACGAGCTCTACTTGCTGCCAACTCCTGATGCAGATGCTGCACTTCCATTACAGGACAAAACTGCACTAAGCCAGGTTACTTTCCAACTCAAAATGCCGTTGCCTCTCAGCAAAATACTGGTTTGCAAGCATGGGGAGCTCGTGATGCAGACGCTGCACTTCCATGACCGAACTGCACTAGGCTCAGCAAATACTGTTTTGCGAGCATGGGGAGCAGAGCGTCCAGACTCCACTCTCTTGCGAAAAGCAAACCTGGTACCGTAGGACAGCTGTTTGGTTTCCTGGACTCATCCTGCCCTTGTAGAGCTGGGCAAAACGATTTCGACTTCGGGATCGAAATGATCGCTGCATCTCAAATATTCAGAGTGACCCTAAAAACTACGTCCTTCCTCACGGGGAATAGCCTGGATCCGCTTGCTCCAGGCCGCTGTGGCTCCACACGACGAAAGGAGTGAAATGACTTGTTTGCTTCGTCCTCCTGTTCTGACAGTGAGGAACGCAGCAATGATCCTGAGAAGGCATCCTGAAGTCGTAAAAAGGAAGACGTCTAAACAAAAACAAAACAGCTCAAATCAAAAGTCCTTGTGGCATTTTTTGTAGACAGGCTTGCACTGCGTGTAGATTTCGCGTGCTCTGCACTTCGCATGCGAGAAGTCACGCAAAGCCGAGGTGAGGTTGGTCGCGTGTGTGCAGCAGGATCCCACGCGACTGCGGAGTTGCCCCCTTGCTCGAACCCAGACAATAATAAGGGGATCGGTCTATTCAGTAATTTCGGCACAGTAACGAGGCTGGTCACGTCATTACACCTGAGACCTGGCAAGATCCCTGGCCCTGAATGCACTTAAGGTGGCAGTCTGGGTTCAGAGGGTCAAAAAACAAAGTTTCGATTTTCTGTATTTTTTCACTGGCAGCGTCTTGTGTATGGTCCAAAGGGTTTATCCTGAAAATTTGAGCGTAATCGGGTGCTTCCTTCCGGAGATATAGCCGCGCAAAGTCTGCACAATTGTTTTTGAAATACTGAAATATCAGCAAATTTCTACAAAATTTAGGTTTGCACACTATTCCGATTTTTACCGTCAATCTTTGAGCGATTTCATTAAAATTTTCTGGAGCGACTCCTGGTACTCCTCTGCGCTGCAGACTGACAGCCGCGCACGATGTTTGTCACCATGGCAACCAAGATAACTTTTGCGCATGCGCAAATTCAAAAAAATTCAAATTTCGACTCTCATGATCTCAGCTGATCGCTCTGCTGTTGAAACTAGTTACTTTTGGAGTAATTGTTTTGGAGTAATTGTTTCTTGGAGCTAACCCCTTCGTTGGCTACTATGGGGAAGTCTAGAGCCAAGGGAAAGCCCGGACGATCTAAGAAAAGGAAAAGAACGTTCTATGGAGTGTCTCAGGCGCCGAAGGCTCCCTCTGGTGAAATTTCGCCTGCAAAACAAATTCCTGACTTGCCACTGTCTGATGACGACCTTGAAGTGTCAGCTGAAGCCACGTCTTCAAACAGCGATAGTGATGGAAGTGGCGGTGAAGTCGACAGCAGTTCCTCCGACAGTGACTTGGATGAAGAGTGTGAGGAAGGGGCGCATGGATTTCGCCTGATTGATCTCGAGTGCCTTCAGCAGCTTTTGTCAGCTGCAGTTTGTTGCAGTGGCTGTAATGGCGCAGTCACGATCAGCGAATCGCAACGGGGAGGCCTTGCATCATGCCTGGAGCTTTCCTGTGTTAACTGCGGCGACATAGCAAGCGAATTTATGTCCAAGAAGTTCAATCGGGTCTGGGAGGTGAACAGACGAGCAGTATTCGGAATGCGACTGATTGGCCGTGGACGTCAATCAATGGTAAAGCTGGCGGGTGCACTGAATATGCCATCACCTATGAGTCGGTCGACATTTTACAGCCATGCTAAAGGCCTGCATTCCGCGTCCAAGAGCGTCGCTGAGCGTAGCATGACTGAGGCAGCTGAGAAAGCAGTGTCCGCAGCAGATGGGGGTAGCGATATCGCTGCTTCCTATGACGGTACCTGGATGCGCCGAGGATTCGCATCGCTCTTCGGAGCCTTCACTATAATTGCATATGATGTCGGCAAAGTGGTGGACTGCGAAGTGCTTTCAAAGTTTTGCCACAAGTGCACGCACTTGGCGTCTAGAAAAGAGAAGGGAGAGCTAACCAAAGATGACTATGATCGACAGATTGCCGAACACGATTGCTCAGTCAACACCACTGTATCAGCTCCTGCCATGGAGAGTGCAGCCGCCAAGACTCTGTGGGCCAGGTCCTTTGAGAGCCGCAAGCTGAGGTACACCACCTACATTGGTGATGGAGATACCAAGAGTTTTAAGGCTGTGCGTGACGCTTGTCCGTATGGGCCCGAGGTGCCTGTAGTCAAGGAGGAATGTGTCGGCCACGTTCAAAAACGCATCGGTACCAGCCTAAGAAAGCTGAAGAAAAACCTTGCGGGCAAGAAGCTTGCTGATGGGCGCACTATAGGCGGACGTGGTCGCCTCACGGATGCCATGATCGACAAGCTGCAAGCCTACTATGGCATGGCTGTGCGGAACAACAGCGGAGACTTGCAAGCCATGGCCAGGGCCATATGGGCATCCCTCATGCATCGTGCATCCAGCGACAGTAAACCTCAGCACCAGTATTGTCCGCCTGGAATTGACAGCTGGTGTAGATGGCAGCAGCAACAGGCAGGTGGTGATGTCTACGCCCACCACAATATCCTGCCAGAGGCAGTATGGAAGGAACTGAAGCCGGTCTACATTCGGTTGTCCGACCGGAGTTTGCTCGAGCGCTGCCAGAAGGGTGCTACGCAGAATCGCAACGAAGCGTTCAATGGACTCGTGTGGCAGTTGTGTCCAAAGACAGGCTTTGCATCCGCTCCCACTGTCCAGATGTGCGTCTACCTGGCCGTGGCCTGGTTCAATGATGGAGGTGTGGCAGTGAAACGCGTTCTGGACGAGATGGGCCTCCCTACTGGACACCATACGACACGTCTCATCAAGCTGCTAGACCGTGAGAGACAGGCACATGCTGCCAGAAAGAAGTCAGAAGAAGGGAAGAGGTCACGAAAGAAGCGAAGGAGGATCAGGAAAGGCATCCAGGATGAGCAGCAAGAGGAAGAAGGTTTGACATATGAAGCTGGTGGCTTCGACTAAGTTCTAGTAAGTTCTAGTTGGACAGACATACCTCCATCTGTACTTGCACAGAGCACTTTTTTTCTCCATTTTCCACTGAGTCCCGTACCTCTTAGACAGCGTAGCGAAGAACCTGTAAGTCACAGACCCCATAAACCATACATTTTTGGAAACTGTGAGCATTTATCAAGGTGCTAAGTGTCATGGATTTTTATATTTGTCTAGTAGCTTTGAGTAAAGTGCTACTGATCGAGGACCTAAATTTTGCGCGATTGCATGATTTTTGTTTGACAGCTTGAGTACTTTGTTCTGAATATGATTTCAAAATTCCGCTCCACTTAGCACCTAGGTATATGTGAAGGAAATCCTGTGGAGCACTCAGTTTCTACCCAGCTTCTTTCTGCGTTTGCATATTGCGTCTAAGGTATTGGTGGTACGGCATAATCGCAGATTTGACTATTGTGTCTGCGGATTCCCATGTGTGAGCTTGATTTATACTTCATTGGACTTAGTGAAATACACTGGGTATGTGGTCAAGATTTGAGCAAAATTCATCAATTATTATGGAAGTTACGGCTGTGTTCATGCGGTCGGGCCGCGAACCCAGACTGCCACCTTAAATAAAATGCATTTCCATTACTCACTAGCATCATTTATTACTAGTATTTAGACTAGAGATGATAGTTCAATACTGTACACGGTACAGTAACACAATGCCTACATGACCTCATGCATGGATCATCGTGCTTTTGTCCCGAACTGCTTTATAGCGGTAACTAGTAACTACTACACTATTGCTTAGTATTGGTATCATCATGATCATAGTAGTTGAAAAACAGTTCATACTGGCCTGATCAGAATGTTACCCGAATCTTCACTCACTATCACAGTACACTGCTCACACAACTTCTCATACTGAGTCATAGCTTCCAGGCTTCATTCACTCATCAAAATATTAAATAGTACTACATGTATACAGTACTAGTCATTGTGATAGCTACCACTCAGCTACTTACCTCTCTCTCAACTTCAAGTCGACTCAACTGTGGAATGCATTGCAGGGAGTAGCAGTACAACATGCCTCCCTAATCATGTGGAATGTGTGGTCTCCATAATGGACCATATCCTTCACACCCACTGCATAGCACCAAGAGTGCTTATGTAGTCTACTCTTGATAGCACTACCAAGACATACTAGTACTAGTACATGATTGTCCATAATTGTACTGTACACACACAACAGAGGCGAAAGGCCTTTCGTATACCATGGTATACTGCTCTGCACATTATTTTGTGCATTGAGCACTCTACCTTGAGCTGCCTAGACTGGTCGTACTATAATATTATTATACTAGTACATGATGTATGCCCCCCCCCCCCCCATTCACCACTGTTCACTGACATTGGGCAGGGTTTTCTTGCTCTTCATCATGTACTGTAGCGGACATGGAAATCCAGTCGATTGACCGGGGCCGGCGCCCTCAGTCTGTACAGAATGCTGCGTGCAGTGCACAAAGTCATGTTGATCCGATGCGACCAGCGCGCTGCAGCGCATAATGCATGTCCAAGTTATCCACGGCTGCATGGCCAGCGCCCTGGGGCCGCTAGACGTGCGACCGGATTTCCATGTCCACGACAGTACATGTACATACATGCAGTGACCATACTGTTACTATAAAGTATAATTATGTAGTCTAGCTTGGTCCACTGTTTTCAGGGTTTTATTATGCACTGAAGTGAAAACATCCCCCCCCCCACCCACACACACAGTGACACTTGAGCATGACCTTCAGCACACTGGGCGCATCATTTGTAGGCAGAGCATAATTCTTCAAGTGAGTGTACAATCATGTACAATTATGTGCATAGACACGCTGCAGCGCTGATAACTGGCCTCTACTAACGTTGTCTAGTCTACTGCACCCCAAATGTCCAAAGTACAGTGCTGCTCGATGACATCCGATCGAGTGAGTCACGTCGTCACGCAAAAAAATGTCGCGAATCTTCTCTAATGACATCAGACAAACGCGAACTGTAATTTTAAAATTTATGAAATCCCTAGCTTTCCATCAAGGAAGTGTTTATCAGTAGAATTGCTGCTATATTTTATGAGCAAGACAGGATCTAAAAACAACTGTGGTCTAACTGGCAAGATATGGCAGTGCCATACAATGACGCAGCATTGTGGAGGAAAATAGCAGTGCTCTGCGCAGGCCGAACCGTGTGTGTGGCCTTGGGATAGCAACGCGGCCAAGTAGTGACACGGCACAACACATCCATGCCGTCAGAAAATAGATCTGGGAGCACGGACGGACACGCACCGTTAAATACCGGCAATGCAATCCTACGAAATCAAGATGTCCGGACACTGTCTTGCTTCTCGTGACTAGCTGGAGGTGGTTGCGGTATCCGATCCTCCGGATGTAAGTGTAAGAGATACTTCAGCAGCTCGTACACTGACCAAGAAACAGCCGTCGCCGGCATCTGATAGAGAATACGAGCGCTCAGCCCACGGCTATAGCCGGCAAGGCCATTCTGAGCGTAGATCGTACGCATTGCCAGCAGCATGCCGCTGACGTGCTCGCGGCCGGTCACTTGGCGAACGGACGCCTCCTGCGTGTTGAGCAGAGTCTTGGCGACGTCGAGCGGATTGGACAAGGCGGCGGCACACGCGCCAGCGCCTGCCCCTGCCACACTATGAACCTGTATGTGAGAACGCAATGGAGCAAAGGGCATACAAGCACAAAAAACACAGAACCAATGAGCAAGTACATGTAGGTGGAGATCCAATGTGTAGGTTTGATAAGCCTACAAAGTATGTTGACAGCCTAGGAGGCTGTCAAAGACGTACTTTGAAGGAGAGATACAGTTGGTAAGCTATTAAAATATTCTATGACAAGTAGGGCTGATACGTAAATAATGTACACAAACAAACAAACAAACACACACACACACACTCAAACACGCGTGCGCACACACACACACACAGTGCAATGGAATGATCAACTCTCGTTATCACATGTACCGGCCGGAGAAGAGTAGATTACGGATGACTACAGCCAACACAATCTTCCCCTGGACAAGATCTTTGCTCTACACACCACTTGAATACACCCATGGCAACCACACAATTATGGGGTATACGGTCTACACAGCTAATAGCTTGATGCACTGGGTGACTGGCATGTCTGAGAGCCCAATAGCACAATCTGGCCTGTATCTTCAGCACGCGTGCATTCCGCATCTCTCAGTATTTGCTATGCGGGCTCATCCTGCACCGCATCCAGTCAAGACTAGATGAGAGAGCTGATGTGCTGTCGGTGTGGGACTTGCCACTGAAAGATACTCTGGCTTGCATGCACATTGAGTGCAGCAACCAGGACAAGCCCACTGACAATGCCCATACTTGGTGCAGTATATTCACAGCGTTTAAAAACCTACTTTACTGTGGAATCTGCGGAGTGGTCGTCACTAGGGTTAAGGAACCAAGCATCTTACCAATGGATTGTACTGGCCGCTGGGGTTTAATACCCGCCGGAGCTTCTCATAGACGACGAACTGCGTACACTGGAAGGGAATATTCATTGTTAACTGGGTCGTGTAGCTGCGGTAGAACGCTCGCATTCCCTCCGTGCGGAATGTAGTCTTGATGCAGTGGGCGATGTTACGATGTGGACTACCATACATTTGCATTCGCTGTTTGATTACTGTACACAGACAAGAAAAAAAGCGAGAGACGATGGTCATGAACGGAAAGACCATGTTCTATAGCATTTCCATTTTGACTAGCAGAATGGACAGCCCAAAGCCACCCCTCAAAGTAGCACCATACGACAAATAGCCACACTGCATTACAACATGATCAAATCGGTCATGCAGAAGGAAGCCATGCGCTGTACATTGAAACATAATCAGTCCACATGCAGAATGCCTGCCACCAAGATGAGGGGAACTACACGCCTGCAGAAACAGCGAGAGCTGACCCATGTGCGCAACTCACCGTCAACGGGATTCATGAAGCCATCATGGATGAGAGTCGCAACAGCACCAGCGCATACTGCAGAACAGGGCAACGCAACAGAGGGAGAATAGCATTCACAGTCAGAGCACCTGGCATAAAATGATCTCTCGTTGAGTCTTCCAAGTCCAGTGAAGACTACTTTGAAGTAAGCACCAGGGTATATGTTCCAATACTTGTACCGTAAAGTACCGCCAGAGCGCCCCACCTTGATTTTACAGCCAGAGAAAATCGTATGTCAGAGTGCAACGAAGTTTGTACGATGTGAGAATCTTACTGTACTAAGGTCATGCTTGGCAGGGTTTTGTGTGGAGCCTGTGTCCGCTCAAAGGTACGGATTGACTGCAAAACGTGCAATATGTGTACATGGTTCATGTCGTATGACCTACAGACAGCAGACCACCTCCACAATACGACCACGAAAGGATGAGATGGTGGGGCGCTCTGGCGGTACTTTACGGTATATGTCGAGCGCCGGTTACTCGTGCAGTGGCTGTACTTCTCGGGGCACAGGACCGTCTCCATAGAGCTCAGATAAAGAGTATGATCGGATAAGGGAGCGGCCACATGTAATCGTGAACACTTCCTCGTGTTCTCATCACTTCTCATTGTCTTTGGCAGTACATGTACTACAGGAATTAGACACAATCAGCCTGCTGCCATACATGTAGATCATGTGCAATGTTTCAAATTATGTAGGTGGCCAAAATCAGCATACCAGTGAACTCATTTTTTTGTCCCCTTTGGTTCAGTGCAAACAGGCTTTTCGGATAATCGATCGTTCGAATAGTTGACGTTCAGATAACCAGCATTCTGCTGTAGACTGCTCGAGAAAAATGCTATGTCAGGACTCCAGGTAGCTTTCCAAACTCTCATCTTCCATGCCAGCGGGGTAGTGAGAATGATTTACAAGATCTTTGGGAGGAGAGTGTCAGCAACAAACTGAGAGTGTAATACAGCCAACAGGAAAGCACTGGATACTGTGATAGTTCATCAAAGCAACAGTAATCTGGTACTACTTGCAGTGAGTAGCAGTGGTATGTAACATGGTAATATGCAGGAGTGCTGTTCACTATTGACGAAGAAGTCCCAATGGTGAGATAATACTTAAAGTACATGGATTCGGCGCTGGATCACTAGATATGAGCCTCAGGACTGAAGCTCATGAATCACACAACATGAAACAAAAAGTACACTGGCACTCACGGTTAGCAGCAGAGCTCTGGCCCGGATTATCGGGCGACAGGGTTCGCTTGATCGACTCGTAGGCAGCAAAGTAGAGCGCGTGTGCAGGTCCAGCGCCCACCACCACTGCCGATAGGCCCCGGAACGGCGTCCGCAAACCTTCAAGCTGAACGATCTGGGTCACAGCATGACCAACGCCTCTGTAGTCCGCCACGGGATGAGGACGCAGAGACTGCATTCTCGTCTGCAGCAATTGCACACGAAAACCAGCAAGGCAAGGCAAGGCACAATAAGACAAGGCAAAACAGTGTGTCATCAAAACAGATTATAGAATGTATCCAAGTAAACAATGACCACAAACAAGTCAATATCACCAATCACGAATTCATGATTGCAGAAGCAGCAATGACAAGCAAATAGTACAGTGGTCTGATGTGGCCGGGGAAAGTGTCTATCTCACACGAGAACAGTGGAACAATCGCACAATGACTACTATTCCGAACTACAGTGTGGTAAAACTCTGAACTATTTTGAGAAACACCTGATGGTATCATAGGTGAGCTGTTCTGATATACTTAGCAGTGTGCTGGGATCTGAGCGAGTGTATCATGCTCAATGACTGTGAGCTAGTGGAAGCCAACTAGAACGTTCTTTTTAAAAGCTTCTTTAAAAGTTCTTTACACCTCTCTGATGTGAGCTGTACTCCTATGCAGGAATGCATACATGTATGCACTGGGCTTGGGTGCCAACAACGTCCAGCCTGGAAAGATTCGTTTTTTAAAGTTTTATTCCAAGCAATACTGTATAGCAGGAAATTTTCGGACGGAATATATTTTCGTACGATTTCGTACACCGCCTTTTTGTACTAAAATTAATTCCGTACTAAAATTTATTCATGTGACTTTATGTACACTGTACATGGGTACTGCTTGTGAACACGTGCATTTAGCATGCAGCACTGTATGAAAATAAAATCCGTACGAAAGGTCGAAATTTGGCTTTGTCCGAAAATATTTCCGTCCGAAAATTTCCTGCTATACAGTACATGGCTGGGGTAGCCAATGACCACTTTGTGTGGCGATTGCAGGGTTTTTATAGCCAACCTCGGCTAAACAAATTGAAAATCTGGTGCAGGAGCTATTACCGGTAAAATAATGTCATTCAAATGTGCTACATGTAGGATATTCGGAAAAGAACACCAGCCCGAGGTTACTGAGATACCGGTATAATGCCACTAGGTATGCCACAACCTTCACCGATGAGATCTGCGTGATCGAAATGGTTACGAGTATATGAAAGAATCACTATTGCATAGGGGTGAAAGTTGGCACTGAGATCCCGAGTTTGAGTACTCTGATTTTCTCTGATCGAATATTCGAGTATTCGAGTATTCTTCATCACCTAAAAATTGCACACCAAGGGCCTTAAAATCACATGATACAACCCTGATCGAAGCGAGGAGCAGTCATTTTTCTCGGGTATATTGGTTGGTATGGTGGGTCATTTGGGGTCTCTCTACTCGTGAACAAATGTCCACCACACAGCGAGTCAGCACATCAATATCTGCCGACTGCTGCTCTGAAACTGCAGATATCTGTGGTAAATGCATGTACATGTACCATGTATGAACGAGTACTCTGATTTATTCCGAGTACGATTATTTTTGAAAAAACCGAGCGAGTACTCTGTATAATTGTTTCAGCCCTACTATTGCATTACCTTGAACGAGAGAGCTTGGAAGCTCAGGGCCCTACGCTATGCTTTTTTCCTTGATGACCTAGACAAAAAAAGCATAGGGATGTTATAAATTCTTTAAAAAATTCCTTTTTTTAAGACATAACCTGGGATTCGAACCCGCACTATCGCGCCCTGTATGCATCCCCGTTCTTTAAAAAATTCCTTTTTTTTAAGACATAACCTGGGATTCGAACCCGCACTATCGCGCCCTGCATGCATCCCCCGATACACTTCGCATACATACTAATTCTTCCAAGTTGCTTCACATTATGGTCTCGCATTTGAAAGCCCTATTTGAATATGCATTGTGGCCAGCCGTCTTTGAATGTACGGTACGGTAGGGATAGGTACGGGACAGGTACGATCGAGGGTAATACGACACCGTCTCCCGTGCCGTACCATCAAACACAGCTAGCCACATACAGCTGCCCGCAATATTCAAATAGGGCTTTCAAACGCAAGATCACAACGTGAAGCAACTTGGAAGAATGGGTATGAATGCGAAGTGTATGGGGGAATGCATGTAGGGCGATAGTGCGGGTTCGAATCCCAGGATATGCCTGAAAAATAGGAGAATTGAAAAATTTATAACATCCCTATGATTTTTTGCCGTCAGATACGGGATAGCGCCAGGCGTGACACAAACAAACAAACAAACAAACACACAAACAAACAAATACCAAATTAAAGCTGTGTGGACCCTGGCTAGCGCCAGACGTTACTGAAGTAACGTCTTCTGCATAGCTACGGGAATAATATAACTAGTGTCGCCGTTTTACACTTAACCCCAAGATCAAAGATGGGGGGGGGGGGGGACTTTCAATCGAGTAGGACCTCTTTCAAGAGAACACTGAAACTAGATGTCAGGGATCTGAAATGGGGGTGCAGCTTACACAGTACTATCTACCATACTTGGAGTGGTGCTGCTGGTGTGGTGAATGGGGTCGGGTGGAGAGCAAACACGGCGGGAAATTTGGAAGTCTTATCGAATCAACAGGTTGAAAGCTACTGCTTGCCCTCATATAGCCCGATGTATTTCGCTAAATATTTTCAATGAGAAAAGGTGAGCAGACATACTCTTTTGCCCTTAACAAAGTGACAACTCACATGATTCATAATTACACACTACTGCAACTTGACAACGGCGATCTGCTGAGGTGCCATTTAAATCACAAATGCTGCCGAGTTGTGATTTAGCAGTGCTGAGGAAAGCACACATCTGCAGGCTGCAGGATGCCGCACCAGTTACATATTTTTTTCTCATTTTGGTTTTGACATTATACCCGGTACATGTATCACTATCTGATGACTTTTCATGCGATGGTTCCTGCAGATATGGAGTCGCTGATTCATAATGGCATCATGAAACTGGCCCTTATCATTCATGATTGAGGGGTTGATGTGTTTGACGGGATGATTTTTGTTTCTGAAGTGAAGAGATATTTCTTTTTTCATGGCCATTCACTTTGCACTTGGCACTGTATATGTACAGGACTCGTGCAATAATCACTACACCCAGATGAAGTACAAGCATGGCCACGTCCCAAGGAGAAGTGTTTTTCAGGAGGAAAACTCTCCATACCTTGACGACGTCGAATGGATACATTACTGAATGCTCAGCTATACCAGCAGCCGCGCCAGCCAGTAACTGGGATGAGATCTTGTTGGTGGGCAAACTCTCGTATTCTTCCTCCATGGCTCCGGCAATCCGATTGATTCCCAGGAACTACTAGTACTCTGGTATGAGAGCCAGTCTATTACCAAACTAAGCAGCACACAGACGCCGAAAATACACGGGCATGCGTGACTGAAAATAGTTCCCAGCTCTAGTTATTTAGTGCTTGACTTTCAAGTTTCACTGAACTAACTGTTAGTAGTGTTACTTCTGAAGACTGAAGCCTTGAAGTGAAGGGAGGTAGCTTGCTCCAAAAATTCTCAAGCAAACAAATCAAATGTTTGATCGTGACTTCAGTGATCTTGTTTCAGCTTCAGCCTGCAACTCGCATCAATCACGTTCACGTGGTGCCATGCTGCCACGCCATTTGAAAGATGACGACGCCCGTGTGCACGTTGCGTAATCAAAGAGTCTAATTTCTGCGCAGAAAGGCATTCATAGCACTGTGTGCGTGCGCAAAGTTTGCCCAGATAGGAAGCAGCGACCCCGGGCATTTACCGGTACTCGTCTCGTACTTGTACTTCCTCTTCAAATCTCAAATCAGCAGAATTACTAGAACTCACTGCATGTTGGTGTTTCACATTTTTGTAATCACCTGGGTGGCTTTTTTTGAGCTTGCTTTCGTTGTTGCTAGCTGAAGTGAATTTCAAGCAGTATGGTGACCTGACTACGATTTTGTAGAATAGAATAAAACACAATCATGCATCCAGGATGGCTTCCCATGTAATGGAATTCAATCTCCAAATCTGAACAGGTAGGTAATCAAGTGTAACTGTTTTGTTGGCTTCCTCATCGGAATGGTATTGGTCACTATCTAGTGCAATGCACGAGCTGTCCACAGGCCACACTATACACTTTAATATTACCCATCATTTGGATCCAGCACAAAACTGAAGCAAGCTTTTTTTTCTTGTATAATATACAGTTGCCAACTACTGCCTATACAAAGAACCCAGTCCGTCTTGATCATGTCTGCATCGTCAACAAACGAGAATAAGCTGCACCATTTCACCGCGGGTGCAATCGGTGGGGTGTTCTCAGTTGCGTCTGGCCATCCATTTGATACCATAAAGGTGAGGAACTCAATCTGCGCACAGTACAAACGTGTAGGTTTGCTGTATCAACGTGCTGGCTATGGTGGCTGACATTATGGTACATGTACAATGCATCACAGTTTCCAATTTTCATTTTGTGTATCAAAATTTGATAATTATTTGCCATGTACTTAAACCCTTTGGCGCCTGACTGAGCATGCGCCGCGCGCAATTTGCACGATCACATCGATCCAAACTTGAAACTTGCAAATGCAACCGCACAACTTTCTTTATAGCTATCGATAGGCCAGCTACTAATGGGTCTCTGTGAATATAATCAGGCATCTGAGATGTGCGGGACTGGCTCTGCGATCAACTTTTAACTTCATGTGCTGCAGAGGATGTACATGATGATTGATGAGTCGCAGAGTGTGACGGCTACGTAAAATGGCCTTTGTACGTAACATTACAAGAGTGCTGCATACTGCAATGAGACTCGCGTATCATGATTATACCAGTAGTCTGGCCATGTGTTGGCAGGACACTAGCCAGGAAACATCAAGCGGGTGGGGGTTCCCCCAGACTAACTATAACTTTATAGCACGATGCCATCACACACAAAAGGCTGTATCCCAGACCTTGGTTGCACACGCACACATTCCTTACCAAGACGAAGGTCACTGCTCCTATGTGGAGCTCGCGCTTCCTGCCAACTTACTTGACACTTGACTGACTCAAGACTGCCATTCAGAGCACACGAGGAGCACATCGAACCTTTCACTAGGCAAGCCTGCAAGAAAGCACCACTCTCTGCTCAGCACACAGTATTTTACTATTTTGGCCCTCATCAACTGAGCTTGAGTAGGCACATGAAATGTTGTGCTCCAGGATCACTACATATAGCACTTCACCAGGCGAAACATCACGAGGGGTACAAAATCTTACAGTGACGCTTCGGTTCTAGCGTGACAAACACCTCATGAGGCCCCAGGTGACAGCGTGGATCAGAATTGCTCATGGAGTGGTGCGAAACAGGTGCCGAGAACCATTAGCTATTCACAACGCTGCCACCTCCAACTACTTACCACCAAGTGAGAGACAACAATACAAACTTAGAAATAGCGTCTTCGGCAGTGATAGGAGACAAAGTTGGTTGCTCCTACCAGTCCTACATATGGTGCTCATATTTCCCACTGGGTTACTTGACACTTGACTCACGCGGGTATGCAACTAGTCGTTGGAGGTGATGATTTTGGGAATAGCTAATGGCTCTCGACATCTGTTTCTCGCCACACCATGAGCGACTCTGATTCAAGGTGCTACCGGGGGCCTCACGAGGTGTTTGTCGCGCTAAAATCGATGTGTCGCAGTATGATTGCATCCTTAGTGATGGTTTTGGCTGGTGAAGCACTGTAAAATGTAATGTTCCTGGAGCACAAATTTCATTACCCTACTCAAGCTCAGCGGATGAGGGGTGAAGTCCCCCAAACACTGGTATTGTGGAGGTTTGCTGAGTGGAAGGTTAGACGTGCTCCTCATGTGCTCTGCATGTCAGTCATGACTCATGAGTCAGTCAATTGTCAAGTAATGTGGCAAGAAGCATGAGCTCCACAACCTACTTCGTGTACTTTTACTGCTGAAGTCGCTACTTCCAAGTTCCGTTTTTTTTACGAAGTGATACAAATTTAAAGGTGTTTTCTGGCAACAGGAATGCACAGGTTACACCCCGGTAGGTGAATGACTGTGTGTGTGTGTTTGAATGTGCGTATGTGTGTGTGTCTGTGTATATGTTTTGCATGTATGCACTGTACTGGGATGGGACGTTGTGGGTCTTGACCTGCTCAGGTGCGACTGCAGACAATGTACCGGGCTCCAGCCCTGGGTCAGCGCACATTCACTGGTCTTGCTGACTGTGGCATGCAGACCATACGCCATGAGGTAAGATGACATCAGCCACCTGGCTCTATATCAGTATCTGATCTCATGCCTGTTGTACTGAACTCTTGTAAAGTACACTGGTATAAGGTTCAGTTTTGTCCAATAATTATCTGACTGTCCTTGAGAGATATGGCACGCGCAAACTTGGCGTATTCCCACTGCACCTTGTGCATCCTACTAAGATAATGTACCTACGTTGCATACCTCGCCTGCTGCTCACCTTTTTTCATGGTTGTTGTTGTTGTTGTTGTTGTGTGTGTGTGTCTGTGTGTGTCTGTGTGTATGTGTGCATGTGCATATACGTGGGTGTGCTTCTTCAGGGTGTGGCTGGTCTGTTCAAGGGTCTTGTACCCCCTATGCTAGCTGCTGTTCCATCCAATGCCTCTTTCTTCATGGGCTTAGCTGTTGGCAGATCTCTTTTCGGCAAAGCTCAAGAGGACATGTCGTAAGATTTATTGGGAAATTTGTAATACCAGTTAACCCTTTACCATCCGTGCGTGCTTGTATCGATCGCTAGGGATTGATGGACATGCATACACTAAAACATTCGTACCTCAGGTATGATGCCTTGAAGGCTGCGATCTTCGCGAGAAAAAGAAGAATGTGCCTTTCAAGTGCCTTGGCCCACAAACTGATCTGTGTGTGTCTGTGTGCGCGTGTGTGTGCGTGTTTGTGTGTGTGTGTGTCTGTGTGTCTGGTGTGTGTGTCTGGTGTGTGTATGTATTTTCTGCTTTAGGAAGACTGAATCGTTTCTATCAGGGTGTGTCGGCGGCTGCTTTCTTGTTTTGGTCCATACACCTGCGGAGCGTATCAAATGTATCTTGCAGGTGAGTGTATGTTTGCCTCCATTCTCCATGTCTTAACCCTTTAAGAGCCGCCCCATACTTGAATGCGTCGTAAACGACGCATTCAAATGCAAAACTTCAAAAGATCGTAACTCAGTTCAATCTCGCTCAAATCCTTCGATCGAAATATCCAGGGCGAAGGGAAAACTCTCACCTGTCGGGAAAAACAATCCGTGAAGCGCTGTGAGCAACGGTTCCTGAGATAAATCACTCGTAAGTTGAGCCGCGATCGCGGCAATTTCAAAAGCGCGCAGTGCAACTTTAGTATTGAGAATTTTGAGACTTTTCATCACGCTGGTTTACTCGAATTTGCACGGGTTTCACTGTTGATATTGTCAAGAGTACACAGCGAAAAATTCGGAGCTCCACGATCGAGTAAAATGAAATATCTGGAGCGGGATGCAATTGGACGCATTTGGGGCATTTTTCGAACTGTCGCTGCGATCTAGCGCTGGATAGACGGTGTGCTGGCTATCATGATCGACCTCATTCTCTTCCTCTCGCGGAGACCGTTCCAGGAAGCCCTAGATTGTGAGGATTGAGCGAGTAGAACTGAAGCTATGATCCGAGGAACACGAAAAAATGCAGAATTTTGAAAATTTCCTGTGGCTCTTAAAGGGTTAAAAAGTATGAGTTGACTATCCTGATGATGGCAATTTTCCAAAACGTCTATAATGATACAGTAAACTGAGGTGTGAATGTGTAGTGTCCAGGGAAAGAGCATGTGTGCTCACCACTTCTCTTTTAGTTGAATTTAGTTTGCGGTTGGTATACAATTTATTCTTGATCAATATGAGAGTACAGGGGATGAATTGTTTACTCCTGGCAATGCGGCAACTTCCTTTTCTTCTCTTGTATTTCCTGTCTGTGCGGTACATGCGTGTGTACATGGGTAGACAAGACAGCAAAACAGCAGTAGATCACAACTGCACAATGTCTGGGACTGTGCACGGACCATTGTTCGGCAAGAGGGCTTCTCTGGGTTCTACCGAGGCGCCTGCATCACAGCTGTAAGAGGTCTGTCTGCGTACGTGTTGTGTGTGTGTGTGTGTGTGTGTGTGTGTGCGTGCACGTGTGTATGTGTGTCACTCTGTGTGTGTGTGTGTGTGTGTGTGTGTGTGTGTGTGTGTGTGTGTGTGTGTGTGTGTGTGTGTGCCACTGTGTTTACTTATGTTTAGGCGTGTTCGGATATGTTTGTCAGTGTGCATGCATACGGGGAAACTTCACAGGACGTAGTCCATTGAAGACGTGATTATCATGTTTTCTTGTCTTCAAGTAACTGTGCTATGCAGGCCAACCTATGCTTGTTGTTTGTGTGTGTGTGTGTGCGTGCGTGCACGTGTGTACGTGTGTTTGTGTGTGCATGCATGCACGTGTGGTGTCCGTGTACAGATGTTCCAACGGGTGGTGCTTACATTCTAACCTACTACTCGCTGAGGAATGCTATGGGCGGCAGCGACAGCAGCAATGAGAAGGACACCGGTGGAAGCATCAGCGGCAACAGTAGCAAGCTGTCCCAAGCTGGCACCATCATGCTTGCTGGTGGACTGGCTGGAATGGTGGACTGGACATTGTCGATTGCACCGGACACACTGAAATCACGTGTACAAACAGGTCAGCTGTGCTCACTGCGTTGTCTGTGTGTTGTGTCAGTCGCGAGATCTGGACAAAAAAACACTTTCAGACCAGGTCAGGCGGCTTAGCCCGAATATCCATGCCCCTGGCTGTGTGTGTGTGTGTGTGTGTGTGTGTGTGTACACGTGCCCATGTTGTTATTGATGCCCTTCGCTGTGTTTGCGTCCATGTTGTCCTGCAGCGCCACCAGGGATGTATCCCAGAGGTGCACGTGATGCCTTGCGTGATTTGGTAAGCGCAGAGACTTGTTAGCTGTTCTTCTTTCAGTGCTAAAGCATCCAGAAGCAAAGTGGAGTAATGCTTTGATCAGTCCAGAGACGTGGTGTCTTGTTCCCCTAGCATTAACACTGGTGCAGTGGTGGTGCCATGTCGCTGTGCATCGTGTATGCTTTCTTTTGGTGCGACTGCCATTGTCCTCCGTGTGAATGGCTGCGGTCCCCCAGTTTCGGTTTTTGAACCAGACCAGAGACCATGTTTAGTGCAGTGCCAGGTGTTTTACCTCTGACTGTTGTCCAGAATGGGATTGTACTTGCGAAGAAGGATCGTATTGAGGATAATGCTTGACTATGTTGTGTACAGGCGTTAGCTGATCGGGGTTTGTGATGCTTTATTCCTTGTTGCTGAATCAGATGGCTACGGAAGGTCCCAGAGGATTGTTTCATGGGCTGTCAGCGGTGTTACTCCGGTCATTCATATCCAACGCTGTAAGTTGTAATGTAGAGTTGTGCTGTTGCTGCTGCTGCTGCTGTTGCTGTTGTTGTTGTTGTTGTTGTTGTTGTTGTTGTTGTTGTTGTTGTTGTTGTTGTTGTTGTTGTTGTTGTTGTTGTTGTTGTTGTTGTTGTTGTTGTTTGAATTCTTTATTCTCGCGATGGTTGTTGTTGTTGTTCTTGCTGTTGTTGCTGCGTTGTTTTGTTTTGTTGTCCGCTGCCAGTTCAGATGAAGTTGAGCAGATTTATTTTCTGATGCTGTTGCATTCTCTCTTTCTTCCTGTTGAACCTGCAGTTCTGCATGTTGGGATATGAGTTCACTCTCCGTCTGTTATCACATGCTAATGGATGACATGACGTACACATAGCAGCTGCAATGAAGAAAGAAAAAGAGCTACAGAGGCAACTGACTTAGTGTTCTGGAATATTCCCAGCTTGTGGTGAATCTTGCATGACCTTTCATTGTACTCAGGTTTCGTTCCTTTTATTCTAGTGCATGCTGCTGGCGCCTGATGTATTGACTATTGTTACCGCAGGCCAGTCTCAACCTTTGCATTGTCTGAGATTCAAGTAGCGTATCGTTTGATGCATGTGCTGTCTCCATGCTATCTAGTCGTAATATATTCACTCGTCTTTGCATTTGTGCACAGTCCTGTGGATACTCGCAGGCTGCGATTGCGCTCTCGCTTTGGTCATTCTAGAATGTATACTTCCATGCCTTTGAAGTTTTTGAGTTGTCAGTTTTGAACTGTAGGAAGCAGTTTACAGTTTTTGTTCTTGCAGTTTTATCTCAGAGGAGAAAGTTCTTGGTCTCATACTGTTACGAGTTGCTGTTGTATCTGGTTGAACGCATGCCGGGGCAACAGAGGGCAGCATGAGTAGCCATAGTGGTCCTATTCGAGCCGGATCTCAGAGCCAGATCCAAGAAGTCCTGCGCGACGACGAGCAAGTCCCAGGCGCTGAGTGTAGACGGAGCTCGCGGTCTACCAAAGGGAGACCGCCGAGCAGATACGGGTTTGATAACTGGAGTGACGTTCCGGACAGCGTGAGCTCTGCAGGACATGCGCCCTCGAAAGTTTCAGGAACTGCTGCGTCGCAGGCGTCACTTCGTGCAGAGATGCTTCGTGTAGAACTTGAGGCTGCAAGGCAAATCGCTGAGCTGGAGGAGGAAGCCGAGACACGCAAGTTGGCTCGTGAGACAAGTTTGGTGCAGAGGGAACTGGAGGTTCGAAGAGCCGAGGCTGAATCTGCAGCTGCACTACGATCCGGGTCAGGGAGCAAAGTGTCGTCTCGCAAATCAGAGACTGGAAACGCTGCATCCAGTGGCAGGGCAATATTGACTGCCAAGAGTCTTGCTGAGCACGACAAGTTGGCCGGACCTGGTCGAAAATTCGTATTACCACCGCGTGAGCACTTCAGAACGATGAGTGATGTCGGTGGAGTGAACGGACAACGCGACCACGGCAAGCCAAGGAGTTTGCAAGGTACGTTTCGTACTGTGAATGCGCCCACACAACCTGTGGCTGTATTAGGTGTGGCGGAAGACAGCCCAGCTCAGTCAAGTACATGTAGTGTCAATGCGTTTGGCGTGCCTGCCCTGGGGCCAGTGGTGCAAGCATTCATGCGCGCGCCCGCTCAAAAGTCTGTGACCAGTACAGTGCTGTCAGTAGTGCCAGCCAAGAAGTCAATGACCAGTGGTGCGCCTGTAGGACGTACTACAGTGTCCATACAGGCAGCTAGTAATGCAGTGCCTGTACAGCCAGCAATAAGCAGTGCAGCAGTACAATCAAGACTGCCTGGCAGTAACAAGAAGGCAGTATCAATGCTGAATGCAACACCACCATGGCATACACCACAGAAGCATACAGCAGTGGCCAAACAGCAGCCACCAACACCAGTGGCAGTGCAAGAACACTCCAAGCAGGTGCTAAACCCGCAAGCAGAGTCCTTCATGCCCTATCCACCTCAACTGCAGACACTACACCCTGCTAGTTTCAGCTTTCACGTGAAGCCACTGGAGCTACCAAAGTTCTCTGGCAAGACTAGTGACTACGACCGGTGGAAGCAGAACTTTCGCCGCGTTGTTGACGAAGATCCACTAACGACTGAAGCGTACAAACTTGCACAACTGCGTGAGTGTCTCATGCATGGCACGGCCAGCGACCTTGTTGATGGCGTGCTTGACGGTCCAGGAGCCTACCACACCATCCTTAGGGAGCTAGATGCATGGTATGGCGGCGACAATCGCACTGTTGAGCGCCAAGAGAAGGAGATTTTGCAGTGGCCGAAGCTAAAAGAGTCAGACGACAACTTTGCCAAGTTTGTCCTCAGACTCCGGACGATGCTCATGAATATGGAGATGTGTGCAGTAACACCGGGCCGTGAGTTGTACCTATCGGTTACGCAGAAGTTGCCGAAATCGCTGTTGCTTAGGTACATGGAGAAGTATGACGATGCTGACTGTGATATTTACCAGCTAACACAGTGGCTCCTCAGACGCGTCAACACACTACGCCGTGCCGATGAACGACTCCGGTCGACAGAAGTCACTGCCTCAGCACCAGCACCAGCAAGATCATGGTCGAAGCAGAGTGCTACAAAGTCTGAACGAACATTTGTGGCAACTAGCAAGGATGCAGGTGCCGACAGAAGCTGCCCCTCGTGTGGCAAGGCGCATCAGCTCCACCGCTGCCCCGATTTCATTAAGATGGAGGTCAGGGACCGATGGAAAGTCATCAAGTCCAAGCCAGATGTCTGCGCCCTATGCTTCGGTCTCAATCATCGCGCAAAGACTTGTACCAGGCAACCCTGTTCAAAGTGCAGCCGCACGCATCATGACATGCTACACTACAACATCCGACGCTCGGATTCCGCTGCAGACCCATCAAATGCCGCAATCAAGGCCAACGCAGCTTCGGCCAGCAGTGGCGGTCCTGCCAAGATTGCTACAACACATTGCGCAAGTCATCAGCCAGAGATTGACAGTGGCGAGTCATTCATGGTTGTGCCTGTTGTATTCCGACACAATGGTGTGAGCCTCCAAGGTAATGCACTCCTGGACCCAGCATCGTCCACGAGTTATGTCCAGCAGTCCGTGGCAACAGCCCTCAATGTGCGTGGACCCAAGCGGCAGCTCGTCACTTCCGGAGTAGGCGGCAAGCAGACCGCAGCAAGACGTGAGCATGTACAGATCCAAGTGGCGGCTCTGGGCGACAAGACCATGAACAAGCTTGAAGCTTGGGTTCTGCCCACCGTCACCGTGCCATTACCGGCAGTGAACTGGAATCAGCACAAGAGCAGCTGGCCGCATCTCAGTGATATTGACTTCCCATCCATCAAGGGCAGTCAGATCGACGCGCTTATCGGCCTGAATGCCATCGAGCTTCATGCTACTCTAGAAGAACGGCGAGCAGAAACAGCAAGAGCGCCCATTGCTCGACGAACTCCTCTCGGGTGGGTGTGCATTGGTACAGGAGTCGACACCACTCGTGCAATCACAGCTACTACACCAGCTACTGACACAGTGCTAACTGATGGGCTGACCGAGCTAGTAGAGAAGTTCTGGCGAGATGAGTCGGCGGGCACAGATAACCCACTAGAGGAGACGCCTTCACCCGATGACAGAAGAGCGGAGGAGCTCACGAGCCAATCAATCAGCTGCAACGGCAACCGGGTAACTGTCCGAATCCCATGGGTCAATGACAGCGGTAAGCCACGTGTCAGGTCCAACAGAGCTCAGGCTGAGCAGCGGCTCCGCAGTCTACAACGCTCGCTACAGTCACGGCCAGCCGTGAAGCAGCAGTACTCTGACGTTATGCAGAAACACATTGCCAAGGGTTACGTGAGACGCGTGGACCCGGATGAGATAGCCAAAGACGGCAACGACCAGTGGTACCTACCCCATTTCCCGGTAGTACGCTCAGATAAATCCACGTCAAAAGTGAGAATAGTATTTGACGGTGCAGCCCGCTGGGATGGACACTCCATCAACGATGAGATGTTTACAGGTCCTGCACTTCAAAACGACATGACCAGTGTGTTGATCCGATTCTCACTGGAACCAGTTGCGCTTGTTGGTGATGTGTCGGAGATGTTCCTCCAAGTCAAACTGGCGGAACGTGACCAGCGCTATCATCGCTTTCTGTGGTATGATGACAATGGCCAAGTGCAGGTGTATCAGTTCACCCGTGTGCTCTTCGGCGCTAAGGCGTCACCGTATCTGGCAGGACGAGCGGTGAAAGAGGTCATCAAGCACCACGGTGATGAGTACGACTCTGACGTCGTGCAGTGCCTAAGCAAAGACCTCTACGTTGACGACATGCTGTCATCACTACCATCCACACAGCGTGCCATCCAGGCCAGAGAGCAAACGCAGCAGCTACTTGCCAAGGGCGGTTTTCACATGCGAAAATGGCTGTCGAACAAAGCTGAAGTGATGAACACCATACCAGAGGAAGATAGGTCACCTGATGTCGTCCGAGATGTGGACAGTGACACCAGCCTCCCAACTGTCAAGACTCTCGGCGTCAGTTGGAACGCCGAGAAGGATGCCTTCACCTTCCAGCATCAAATGAAGGACATCACGACATTCACCCGACGCTCTGTGTTGCGCGGCCTGGCCTCCATATTCGATCCGCGTGGCCTGATCTCGCCATACGTCATCACGGCTAAGGTACTCCTGCAGGATGCCTGGTTGCTGGGACAGGGATGGGACGACCTGCTGCCAAAGGAACAAGTCGTCAAGTGGCAGGGTTGGTTCCAAGGCCTCCCAGACCTGAGTAACCTGGAGATCAGCCGCTGTTTCAAGGATCCACAACAGCCATCCGAAGACGCCAGTCTTTCCGTGCACTGCTTCTCCGACGCCTCAGATCGGGCGATAGCAGCCGCTGTGTATGTCAGAGCCAGCTACCCAGACGGTACCACCCGAATAACGCTAGCGATGTCGAAAGCGAAGCCGGCACCAGTGAGGCGACAGACGATCCCGCAGCTTGAACTGAGAGCAGCTGTGCTTGGCGTTCGCGTTAGTCATCTCGTCGCTGAATCCATCGGTATCCCAGTGTCAGCTCACACATTTTGGACGGACTCGATGAACGTCTTGGGCTGGGTCCAAAGCCACAGCCGGCGCTACAAAGTGGACATTGGCAACCGAATCTCTGAGCTCCAGACCTCAACGAGAGCACACCAGTGGCGACATGTTCCCGGAAAGAACAACCCTGCAGACAAAGGTACTCGTGGTTTGTCTGCTGCATTACTGTGCCGTGATGCAGTGTGGTGGTCCGGTCCACAGTTTCTTCGCCAGCAGCCAGATGAGTGGCCTCAGATGAAGGAAGTCAGCACATCCTCGCTGCCTGGTCAGCTCAAGACGGCGCTAGTTGCAGTCGTCCCTCCACCCTCCGAGATCCTGGGTCG